TCTAGCTCGATCAGGGGCCAAACGGCAAGGGGGGGGGTCCAACCGACCCCCCCCCCCCCTACACATTAGAAGCTGGCAAACGCCGCACACATGCGAGGGTTAAGGAAGGGGATAGTATGGAAATAATGAGTTTATCATGGATAGTTACGAGGTTATGGGTCTCGGAGTAAAAACTGATGCAACCCACCCCACTCTCCCCTTCTTTGACATTTAACGATGCAGCATTTTCATTATGAATGCTCATTAATGCTGAGCAGGCCTCGTCGTTTGGAATCACCTTGATGGCCCTCCTGGCACCTATCGTTTTTGGCCACCGAGCCTTGCTTTATAATTTCAAATGCATGAAGCTTACAGCCTGTGCAGTTCTTCGCACGGTGGGAGGAGCATTACCATGCGACAAAAGTGCGGCATCACTGCACGAAGCTCTGGCTATTGCCCATCTCCAAGGTGACCCCCGATGGCGTCTTCTGGCCGTACCTATAAAAGGCTGCGCCGCCGCCATCGGCCTGCATACAGCTCTTCACGCAGCTCTCCAAACACTCTCAACATGAAGCTCCTGGTAAGACTGACTTGATAGATGTGTGCCGAATGTTATCATATGCTCTCCCTTGATAACAGGTCTAAAAAGGTGCACCCACCTGGGTTATGGTGTGTTGTAGTACTTACTGGAGTCGCCAGTCGGTGGATTTATTTCTCATTTCGCCGGTGATTTTTCATTATTCTCCATCATCCCCGGTCGCACGTGATCACTGTCTGTTTTCATTTATGTATGAAAGCAATAAGCATACATATGTATGTCTTATGCATGCCGACGTATGTATGCCGACGCCCGCAGCACCCTGTCCAATGTCACTTCAGTGACGTGAGTGTCGCTCACATAGAACAAACGGCCTGCTTCCGTTTCGATATCCGGCTTGAGCTCATAGGCGGCGGAACGGGGAGGGGCACGGTGCCCCCCCCCCTTGATTTTGGCATTTTAACATTAGCCCTATGGGTGTTGCATGGAAAGAATGGGACCAAAAGTCGGCAGTGCCCCCCTCCCCCTTAATTGAAGGTGTTCCGCCGCTACTGCTTGAGCTCGTCTGTCTCCTGCTGACTGGGTCTGACCGAAGATGTTATCTGACCGGAAATGTTATTTCTCTCCACGCCAGGTTGTGTTGGCCGTGCTGGGTACCGCAGCTGCAATGGAAATTAGGAAGGCCGAGGACCAGAAGGCCGAGGATGCCCACCCGTACCCGCGGCCGAGCTTCCCGCTCACCTACCCAAGTTCTCGTGTCCCCTTCGTGGCCGAGTGGATAAAAGCGCCGGAATTCGACGCTTAGCCGGTGGTGAGGGCCCGGTTCAAGCCCCGGTGCGGGCGGCCACATTTAGCTCCTACGTGTAATGGCGTGCGTGTCTGTGGCAGGGGCCGCACAGAGGCCAGGTAACGTGAGTGAGCGGAGGGGGCCGTGTCCAGTCGTAAGGGCACGTTAAACGTTCGGACTAAATTATGCCATACAACTGGAATTGCGCGATCGGGTGGTGGGGTCAGGGTCAGCACAAAAAGCTATGCTTAGTGCGGGCTCTGATTCCTCAAATCCACCCATTCAACCATTCGGACTAATTTTTTTTTTTAACCTACAGCGCCGGCTACCACGCCCCGGCCGTCTACAGCGCCGGCTACAGCCCGCTGGCCTACAACGGCTTCTACAACGGCGTCTACCACGGCTACACCGCCCCCGTGGTGCACTCGCTCAAGAAGCGTGACGTGTCGGACGCCGAGGGCCAGCAGGCCGACGAGGCCACCTACGTGTCCACGTACGCCGCCCACCCGTACAGCCCGCTGACCTACACGGCCGGCTACCCGTACCGGGCGGTGACCTACAGCGGCCTGAGCATGAGGCCGCCGGCGTACTCCAGCAGGGCGCCGCTGGTCTACGCTACTCCGCTGGCCCCTAAGGCCCCTTAAGGCCCCTAAGGCTACGGCGACTTTTAGACCAGGACCCGGCCGTCAGTGGTGCCCGGCGTCTCAGCTGCTCGTGCTAACTACCAGAACACGCCACCGGTGCCGGATCGCAGGGGCCTGCACGTGTTAACAGGCTGCCTGAGGAACTGGTGGCACAACTGCTTTTGAAATGATCTGGCATTGGTACAATGCATGCCTATCGTTTGCATCATCATTATTTGTCAGGGCTTCCATAAACGAATAAAAATAATTGAGCAGATACAGCTGTTCTTTGGTAGAACATATGAATCCATATCCGCATTTATGATTGCTGGTTTCACTTTTTTTTCCTATATATCAGCTTCCGCTGACGGAAGATGTAGAGTTATGTCAAACCGCATGCAGATCAGATCTAACCACACAATTTACTGCACTGGTTCTACAGTTTACATTGTTTTCAACAACACCCGCGCTCGAGAGAGGGAGAGAGAGAGAGAGAGAGAGAGAGAGAGAGAGAGAGAGAGAGAGAGAGAGAGAGAGAGAGAGAGAGAGAGGAGAGAAGGAGAGAGAGAGAGATAGATAGATAGATAGAAGGAATTGGAACGAAGGGAAAGGGAAATGATAGAACGGCAGACGGCAGCTTCGTATCGCAAACAAGTGTAATAGGTAACATTTCATCGGATATGAAAAAAGTCGGATATGAAACCGTATAGGAAAAGCTTCTGCATAAATTTTCATCAGAACCATTCGTAAACGGTGGCAGAAGTCCACAAAAACGTTGACGCGGCTAACTGTGAGGGCTAGAGTCGAATAACCGAACGACAAACCAATCACAGGAAACGGCTGTCTGGCACAGGAAGCTAGCACTACAGTAGCACTACGGTCTAGATGCCATCAAGGCCATCTATAGAAGGTACAGTCACTCCCCCTCCGACCAATCAGAGACAGATCCTGAGTGACGTCACCCCTGATGCTCGCAAGGGGTACGCCATTCCTTTACAACGTAAAAATGACTAACTTCATTTGAAGATTGTTGGTGACACTCCACACATATCGCTCAACCGTTGATGTCATTGGAAAGTCCAACTAATTTTCCAGCGATAAAAAAGAGCAGCAATATGCTAAGAAATGGCCGGTTTTGAAGATATAGACGATTTAAAAATCCTCTGCAGTTGCAGGAAAGCAACGTGAAAAGGCATCGAGCTTATATTTTTACTATGAATAAATCATTTTTCAGTAAGTTTTTAGATATGGTATCGATTTTATCAACAACTTTATTACAATATTTTTATTACTTGGAACTTCATTTCAAAATAATATTTTCAAAAATGGCAGCTGTTGGCAAGTAGCTTTGAAGCGATTGTGGCGCGCGCCATTATTGTCCCGAGGCCCCCTTATGATGTCATCAAAAGTGGAGTGACATGGGCCTGGATGCCATGGCGACCACCTCACACGGCTCCGCCCGTCCTGGTGTTTTAGTACCTACCTCATGACTGGCTAGTTTTTGCACTGACTGATCCAAGGGGTATTTGGGGCAAACGTTACCTTCCAGCACCCGAGATCGATAAAAATATGTCTCGTTTTTTTCCTAGAATAGCATAGCAAGAGAACTAACCAAATAAAATGGGTAAGAAATTAATCATTAACATGGCACAAATGTACATATTATCTTAGCAATTGAAAAGACCGAAATAAAGAATATTTACAGACCTATTCCGTATTTCGGTCATTTCAATTGCTAAAATAATTCATTTGTGTCATGTTAATCATAACCTAATTTCTTTCCCATTTTTTTTTTTTTACAAATTTAGCTCGAATGTTTGAATGGACGGATTGACAGAGCCGGAGCCCACGCTAAGCAGAGCTTGTTGCGATCCCGACACCTACCGTCCGATCGCGCGATTCCGGGTATCGGGAGAATTTAGATGCCAAAGTTTATCGTGCCCTTCAAAGCCGGACACGGCCTGTCCCACTCAACTGACTTCAACTGGCTGCGGCTGCTCCCACCAACCGCAGACCATCCCCGTCATGAGTCTCAAATATCGAGCGCCGGAGCGTCTCGAACCCGGGCTCTCACTACAAGGAGTCCAATGCTCTACCAACTGAGCTACGGGACGGAAAAATCTTGCGTTAAGCTGCACAAGAATGCGTGAGAAATCCAAATCCGAGGAGTTGGGAATTGGGGGATTTGGGGGAGTAGATATGCCCCCTCGTCCTCCTCCCCGCAGAGTTTGAGACCACTATTCTGGATCCGCCTATGAGTCTTTGTGAGCATTGAATTTGAGACGGTTGACGGTTTTTATTATTGCAAAATTTAGCACTGGTTGGTGAATCCCAAGCCTACCCATCATGCTTCCTGGAAGTTTTGTTGTCTGGTGTAAGATCCTGAATATCCCGGATCCTGAACATTTAGTTTGCCCCATGGGTATTCTGAGAACATTGAATCCAGAAGAGTTGGCTACCAAATGTTATTCGATGCCTTACGAGTGAAGGTGCCAGCAGTGCTTATCCCTAACCCATACCGATACACTGTCTCTGTGATGCATTTTCTTTCCACACCTGAAGTTTATTATCGTTTTACTTCTCGCTGATATTGTATTGTGTTATTTTGCTTTCCTGCGGCTTGCAGCACATTTCTGCCCGACAGTGGTGGTTCGATGTATACATGCAAAGTCAGTCGGCGGTCACCAAGATGATTTGTTGTGGGTTTGTCAACGTCAGGAGCCATCATGGGGCACAATCTGCTCATTATGACCAAACAGAGACCTTATCACCGGCGCTGTGCATCTCTTGCAATGCCTTCTGCCTTTCAAACCTTTTGTCTAAATGCCCTTGAAGCTGCCGACCTTTATGCCAATAAAGCCGACTATGCATCCTGACCGGTGTCAAACCCAGATCCTTTGATCTTACAGTGTCTGATTCTGCTGAGCATTCGAAATAGTCTTGAATTCATCGAGTATGATTTGGGAATAGGTAGGTAATTGTACCTAAATTCAATTCGAAATGCGGACATGATTGTTTGCTGGGAAGTTTGAATTGATGCGCTTGTCGAAGCGTCAATGATACACAGCTAAGCGACATTTTATGCATTTATTACTACATAATTTTGTTACCATCATTTCTGATTGACCCAACAATGCAGTACAAATGAGTTGTCCAACAGTTCCTCAGGCAGGGTCAAAACACGTGCAGGCCGCTGCGATCCGGCACCGGTGGCGTGTTCTGGTAGCACGAGCAGCTGAGACGCCGGGCACACACCAACGGGTCCCGGTGCGCCTCCCAGCTCGGCCCAGCGCCACCGGTCTCCTGCAGCCGGCAGCGGCCGGCCCGGCACGTCGCTCCGGTCGGTCGGTCCGTCTAGAAGTAGCCGTAGCGGTAGGGGTAGGCCAGCGGAGCGGTGTAGGCCAGCGGCGCCGTGCTGGCCGGCGTGCTCAGGCCGCTGTAGGTCACCGCCCGGTACGGGTAGCCGGCCGTGTAGGTCAGCGGGCTGTACGGGTGGGCGGCGTACGTGGACACGTACGTGGCCTCGTCGGCCTGCTGGTCCTCGGCGTCCGACACGTCACGCTTCTTGAGCGAGTGCACCACGGGGGCGGTGTAGCCGTGGTAGACGCCGTTGTAGAAGCCGTTGTAGGCCAGCGGGCTGTAGCCGGCGCTGTAGACGGCCGGGGCGTGGTAGCCGGCACTGTAGGTGAGCGGGTAGCCGGCCGAGTACGCCAGCGGGTACGGGTGGGCCGCGTACGTGGACACGTAGGTAGCCTCGTCGGCCTTCTGGTCCTCGGCCGCAGCGGCGACTCCCAGGATGGCCAGCACAACCTGCAACGGCGGACAGGGAGGTACAGTGAGAACAAGGATCACGAGCAACCGAGGGGTGATGGAGAATGACAAGCCATAGACCGAGGCACAAAGTCCCGAGAAAGCATGTATCCCACAACACCTCAAATAAGTTCTTCCTTTAGCCCCTTTGAAGCCAGTTATTCCTAAAGATACTCTTCATTGGATCTTCATCTTACCAGGAGCTTCATGTTGGGAGTGTTTGGAGAGCTGCGTGAAGAGCTGTGTGCAGGTCGGTCGGCAGCGAGGCCTTTTATACGGCCGGAGGACGCCGGCGGCGATTCTGCCTGCCGGGGCGGCGGCCGGTGCCGCCGGGAGTGACGCTGCACTCTGCCGCCTGACAGTGCTCCTCCCACCTGAGCAGGATGCGGTCCGACCTCACGGAGTGGGGGTGGGGTGACCACACCCACGCATCGATGGCGCCCAAAGGCCTCATGCCGCCGCCTCAAGGTGAGGCCGCTGTCCGCTGCGAGGGAAGTTTTGCGCCGTCAAACGGCGCCCGAGCCATGCGCCGTTGAGCGTAGCTTAAAGGGACCCTCCCACCTTCAAAAAAGTTTATGAATTGGCATGAAAGTGATGTCGCTCGGCTCAGAAAGAGCGAAAACGAATATTTACCAAATTTCACCGAAAAATATTCACCGGTTTTCAAGATATTAGACTTTTACTTTTGTTTACTTTTTTTGGGATCTCCACTGTTTCTAGCGACTTTATTTCAGAAGTGCAGCGTTTGCGGCAGATGTTGCGCGCGAATAGCATATACCACCGCGTGCTACAAAACGTTTTAGTCAAACATTTAAAAATCGTTAGATATCTGCGCTGACGTCACACATTCAGAGGGGTATTCCTAAGCATTAGCCCCTCTGAATCAAAATGCTGCAATTTTGAAATTCAATATTTCTGATTTAAGGCATTTCTCAATGTTGTGAGTGCCGAAACCGGTAATTGTGAGCCAGGGACCCCATTTTGGCTATCTCAACTCAAATCTAATGTTAAGGTGGGAGGGTCCCTTTAATTGCATGTTAAAAGTTAGAGGCGGCAGGCATTTCAGGCGTGGCAACATGCGTTTCTAGATCGTAGGTGCAACATTTGATTGGGTTGAAGTACAACTAAGATAAACTGTAATTGTTTAACAGGCCAGCTTAGTATTGCGAATCATAACATTTTCTGGTTGGTAGTTCACACGCAAAAGTTGAGAGCCTGAAATTAGGCTCCTAAGCGTAAAAGTTGCCCTTTTAACCCGCGCCCCCACTATATTATAATGTAAAAAAAGACTTCTACTCCAAAGATCGGTCGTTCTGAGAGTTTTCTATTGCCGTTTCCCCAATCTTTCCAAGACCATACGTTCGAAACTTGGACGGGGGCAGAATCTACCCCTCCCTTCAAGGTCAAAGGTGGCTTCGGCTGAATACTCTAAAAGGGGAGACCCGGGAGGTATGGGCCGGTTTTGTGAAAAGCAATTCTTTATTTTTGGGGGTCAAATTCCAGAATTTTCAAAATTTTGAGATAGCAGTAGGGTAAGGTGCCTAATTAGCGACCCTTTCCGATTTGCGACCTACCTCCCTACAGAAAAACTGGCGGGAGAAAACAGGGTAAACACATCGTCAAAAGGTCAGTCATACTTTGGTTATCAAATTAAATTATTTTATGGTTGTCGATGTTTCTGGTGGGACGTTTCAGGTGAGTTTAAATGAAAATGACGAGTTTCTTACCCAAAACGTGTGTGTTTGGGCCCTCTCTGATGAAAAGCGATGCACATTAGGACGATGCACCTTTTTTATTCTGAATCGACATTCCTTTTTCAATTGATTGCCGTTTTCCCATAGTGAATCGCTTAACACTGTGCACAGCATGGCGGTTAAAAATGTGTCGCAACTCATATTTCCTATTTGCGCCTGACATGGTCGCAAATAGCTCAAGAAGGGAAAGAAAGGGGAAAAGAGAGAAATGAAAATGAGGTGTTGCTGAAGCTTGCAGTGTGTGGCAAGGGATGTCAAATGTCGTCACCGACTGCAGGGGTGCCGAATTCAGCGCGGACCTCGAATATCATACGAGACAGCCCGCAAAATTTGGGTTTCCGCCTTCTTTTCGCCGTCGGTGCATCACGTGATCAGTTTTTACTTACATATATGTGTTGGATAAACGTTCCTGCTCGACTGATTGAGTGCTTTGCGTATAGGTTACCTTTTTGAGATAATATTTCATCTTTTCAGGCGTCGCATTTTTTGCCATTTTTAATATGGGGAAACCCATAGACTTATTAGCGACCCTCCCCGGTCGCTAATCGGGAAGAGTTCCCTATTAGCGTTTTTTGCAATGGTTTGCTAAAATGCTCACTACAAATAAGTTAGTGAATATTGGGGCAGAAAATGACTATATTTTAATAGAAAAATGAACGACCTCTCCGAAAATCAAGCCAGTAATACAGTGGCACCCACAGAGCGTGAGCAATGACGGTTCAAATTAAGGGGGTCGCTAATTAGGCACCTTACCCTATAGCAGCCCCGGTAATTCAACACAATCTATGTATCAACATTTCTCTGTATTATCAAAGCTATAGGTATTTGGAAAATTATTTGATCGCAATGTGTAAAAAATTATGCTCGGGACTCGGGAGGGCCTAGGTACTGAAAGTTTGGTGACGATCGGTGCAGCGGTTCTGGAGTATATCGAAAAAAACTAGGGGGGGGGGCAAAAACTGCCCCCAACCGCCTGGAGGGTTAAAAGTCAGACGGAAAATGGCAACTTACTTTTGCACCGGAAATGATCAATCTTCAAAGAATATCTCAAGCACATTGCAATTTATAAGTAGGTATCTTGGCTGCATAGTGCATATCCTCTTGGCATGCATTGCTCGGATGCCTAGTTTTTGCATCGTGAACTTTTCGTAAATCATATGACGTCATTAATGTCACTTGAGATCATTTTAGGGTATTGCGTCATTAACTGCCGATTTCATTGAGCTCGTGAGTCAGAAAAGCCACCGAATGATTCAGAAAGACCTGCCGAATCGATCGATATGCGATATGCCCTCCTTCGAGCAGCTTCGCGACCTTAAGTGCTTTGACCTGACCTCGACTCGAGGTGCACTATGTTGGTCATCTTCAAACAAAATTTTATCTTATTTGCCTGAGGATATCGAGGAAAAAACGGCCCCCAGGGTGAGTGTCACCAATGGGCTCATCGGCAATGGGTTACGGTCAGTCATCCGACAGGATTAGCATTTTTTACAGCATTGGTTTAAAGTATTTTTTTTTTGGTTCTGCTTGTCCGGATTCATAGTTCTGAAGATATCTTCCGCGATCGTTGATCTCAGTGTGGCCGTGAGAGGCCCCGCGCGTGAGTGCGGCGCTGGCTCCCCGCCGCGTCTGCTGTCGGCCCGCTGTGTTGATCCTCTCCATCTCCGGCGGGCGTGGTCGGCCCGCGTCCGGGACCGATCCCGTTCTGCCCGCTTTGTTGGTCCTCTATCTACCGGTGTCGGCGCCGGGTGTGGCCTCTCAGAGTCCGGGACCGACTCTGCGCCCGTTCGGTGGCCGGCGGATGACCGGCCGCTCCCGGACCTCCACCCCAGGGGGCGGCGACGACCGGCCGCGCCCTGGCCCCGCCCCGCGGCCGGTCCGACCACGCCCACCGGGCGGCCGCTCCGCGTCGGTGAGCCTCCCGCCGTGACCTTGACGGGGCCGGCCGACACGGCGGGCCGCTGCGGCTCCGGCCGGCGGTCGTCGACTTGTGGCGGCGCCTCCGGCGCTGCCCGGGGACAGGGTGCGGTCCGTGCAGCCGGCGCTCCGCGCCCGCCCGCCCGGACGGACGGCGATGGATTGATCGGAATCGCTGCACATTGACGCCGCTGGGCCGTTTATGACCCGCCCCACGGGTGGCAACTGGCTGCTGGATGCTTTTGTTGGGATTGTTTTACCTGTAGCAAGTTCTCAAGGTCAGCCTTTTCCCAAGGCACAAAGAACTCATTACACCGATCATTCCTTTCGTGCTGCAACATGAATGTCGATAAATGCTTCTGATTAGGTAGATTCAGCGAGAAATATGCGCTTCATTGTCGCGATACAAAAATTCACCGATGTAATAGTTAGCAGAAGGCTGTTTTATGGATTATTTGAGTCTTACGTTATAAATGTTTTACTTCTGGTTTAAATATAGTCATGCTCAGTAAGCAGATAAAATGAAATTTTAAGTATTCCCGTATTACTTCACCTACATATTTTCACCTTTTTCTCAACATAGCACTGAGGACTCCAGTGAGAGAAAGAGAGACGGCTAACATTTGCATCCGCAGCTATTCAACATCGATTTGGTTTAACGATTAATCGATTCGTTTTTTGTTTAACAAAGACGACCTCAAGAAATTCAGCTGAGAAAAATGTATTTATCAACAAGGCATATATCATGCATTGCTTTTGCACTGCTGCATCTGAAGCCTGATGTTCTCTCGCCGTTACCCCGACCATGCCCCGACCTTGCGCTGTCGCCGTGCCGCCGGTAATCTATCCAGCAACTGGGAGCAGTGTGACTACCTCAATCTGCACTCTGCAGTCCTCGAGCGTCCCATGCCGCGGTGTCGGAGCCAGTAGTAGTTACGTGAATCGTGTGTCGTGACTCGTGAGGAGTATGAACCCTGTGACCGAGATCCAGCCCAGGGAATCCCTGATAGTACTGGGGGTCGTGACACTCATTTGGGAGGGGAGTAAGTAGCTTTACCGCGGTGTAGCATTCAAATGGATGGTGTATACCCGCGGTCGGGTTCAGGAACCCACTCGGTAATATCATGGCACACATAACTCTCTCCCGTGGGGTCGTGCCAGCCATTTGGTAACCAGTAAGATGCCTAAGCAGCTCCACTGCGGTCTACTAATATACCGAGAGCTGTGGCTGGTATAGTTACACGTTCATCGCACCATAACCAGGGGTTTACTACAGCAGTATCGCGGTTAATGTGTGCCACGGGAGTATTAAGACACTGAATGGATGTGTTATATTAGCTTATTAATTCGTAAGTCCATTATTTAAGTAATTTTAGCACATGCAGCTGGCTTACCGAGATTAGTGCAGCAAAATGCATGACGAATTCGAATAGGAAATAGGACAGCAAAGTGGTGTATGTAAACTGAGGCATAAGTTTCCAAATACGTTTGCTTTACCGTGCGGTACAGTTGAAGTTTCAAAATGATGAAACAAGATGAAATTACATTGAGCCAGAAACCCAATGTCAGCAACAAATTGTGTTTTAGGCCAATTTGCTATGAAAACTCTGGGGTGAGAACGGAATGAAAAATATCGACTTATTTCAAAAACCTATTCAGTTTCAAGTGCTATCCTACTTATGGATCACCCAATAAAATCGATCATAGCTCAAAATCGACCCTTGCTACTCGCGCCCGCAGTTGATGTTCTGACTTCTGAGTACGGCGTCTCCCATGTACCGTGTGGCGCCCGGCGGCGGTGTCTCGTCCGACTGCCGGTGCAGGCCGCCAGACGGATCGCTGCCCGGGCACGCACCGGCGCGGCACCGCGCGGCCATGACTTTGAACTTCACCTTGGCGATCGAGGGGTGTCGGCCGAGGAGGGAGGGGTGGGCACCGCCCCCCCCCCCCCCTCCCGCCCCTCCCCGAACGGGTACTCTGTGCACCGTGACCGCCCAGGAAGGCTCCCGAGACGGGCGTGGCAGCTCGGCGAGCAGGGCGAGGGCCGGCGAGCAGGGTTGGGCGAGGGGGCGAGCAGAACTGGCGAGGGCGGAGAGCTAGGTGGAGATAGAATTGAAATATATGCATAATGCAAATCGCAGACCGATTTTAACCTGCGCCCGGCTGGGGGTCCTGGATTTCCACGCCCTGCTGGGGGGGGGGGGGTGTTTGAACACCCCCCCCTTGTAACTCGGCTCCTGGGTCACGTAGCGATACGCGGAAGGCGGCGTTCGAAAGAGCGTCAAAAATAATGACGAAATCACTTCAGTCAATTTTTTGGTCAGGTCAAAGGTCAGGTCACCAGAGGTCATTGAAGGCAAAATTTCGCCGATTTCCAGGTCGAATGTCGAAAATTTCCAAGAAGCCAACGCATAACTTGGGAACCAATAGAGCTACAGCGCCGCGGAAAAGCGCATTCGATAGCCCTATTAACGCCCTTTCTGAGTAATTCTCTCAGATTTGACCTAACGTCAACGGTTTTGCCTGCAGGGGGCAAAAACTGCAAAAATAGCCGATTTTTTCGGAAACAGTTTTTCTGCAATAACTTTTGACCCAAGCCCTGTACCAGCTTACTTTTACCGGCATCGTGTTCCTCTCGTCCAGACGCATCGAATGAACTATACCTTGACCTTGAAAGGTCAACTTGAAAATTTGACCTCAGGTCAAGGTCATGACCTGACCGGAAAGGGTCATGTTGCATATCAGTCGATCCGTATCGTCGAGCTGAACACATCTAAGGCGTTTTCATTGCTCTAGCATGCCTCTATCAAAAGTTATTTGCGAAAAACTGTTAGATACCATTCGTGACCTAAGATGACCTCAGGGCATAAACAAGGGTCACGGACACCATTTTCATGTTCAGTGTGTCTAAACCACTTGTAATTCGGTGTTTGGGAGTGTTTATAATGTCCTTCGTCCAAAAGAGGCGCCTTTCAATTTTCTCCCATTGACTTATAATGGGGAGGTCGCAAAATTGACCTGACCTTAGGTCATCGATATCAAAATTCTGAGATGTACATTTTGTACATGCTATTGCTCTTAGCAATCGCTGAAAGTTTCAAAGCGATCGGTCACTCGGTGTAGCTATGACAGACAATTGAAACTTTTTATGAGGTGAGGTCACTTCAAGTGACCTGGTGACCTGACTTTGAATGACCTTGGTCTGAAATTTTCACAACATGTGTAGAATTGATGTATGATAGAGTGTACCAAAAACGGCGGCGCGGAGCGCCGCCGTTTTTGAGATATTCGCGAAAAACCACAAGGGGGGTGTTCAAACACCCCCCCCAGCAGGGCGCGGGTTAATGGGATGAAAGCCATTCGATTTCTCTCATCGTGAACTTTCAGAATGACAGTAAAAAGTAAAACAAAATCAACAGTCTGGTCCGTGACTTGGCGGATACACTTTGGTGCTGTTAAGACGTTTGAATTTTAAGATGTTTATTAGGACGTTTGAAAACTGACACAAGTGAGTCTTTCAACCGGACACGGACATAAGTAAGTTTTGGCTACTTAGGCAGAAATCGAAGAAATTACTTTCTAAGATCCGTCGAGGCTATCTATAATATAAGTTTCGATGTTACAGATTTTAATGGGATCTGAATGGGATAATAATCTGTATACTGCACATCTCCCACAAATGCATGCATTGACATAGATAGGTAGGACGTACAAATTGCGCAACCTAATTCCTGTCGTGCAAGTGCAGTGTGAGGGTGCTCACTGCTCATGGTACCTACTGTAAGAGTAACTTTTCTCGAAGTCTTATGACGATTTTATGTTTAATTAATAGGTATCGGTTCGTTTCCATTTGTTACTACCGCGACATTAGCAAACAATGGGTTTTACATTTTATTGACGATGATAGACGAACATGCACATGTTTGCCAGTGACACGCGATACAGCTCGATCTCTCGCTGTCAGACAGCTCTCAGGCCACTCCGAATCCTCGATCGGCCGCGCTGGGCGGACCGCCGACCGGCAGCCGCCCTTCCCTAGGGTCGGTTCTCCAGTCAGCGCGTCCGCCTCAGCTGCTGCTCAGAAGCCGCTGTGTCGTTTAGATGTAATAGCGGTAGGGGTAGCCGAAGCCGGAGTAGGGGAAGGCAGTGCTGGCGGTGGTGTAGACGGCCGGGGCGCGGTACACGGTCGGGTTGTAGTTGTAAGTGTAGCCAGCCGAGTAGGTCAGAGGATACGGGTGGGCGGCGTAGGTGGACACGTAGGTGGCCTCGTCGGCCTGCTGGTCCTCGGCGTCCGACACGCCACGCTTCTTGATGGAGTGCACCACGGGAACGGTGGGGCTGTGGTAGACGCCGTTGTAGACGGTGCAGCCGTGGATGCCGAAGGTGCAGCCGTGATAGGCCAGCGGGCTGTAGCCGGCGCTGTAGACGGTCGGGTAGGTGTACGGGTAGCCGGCCGAGTAGGTCAGCGGGTACGGGTGGGCCGCGTACGTGGACACGTAAGTGGCATCCTCGGCCTTCTGGTCCTCCTCAGCGGAGCGCTTGGAGCGAGACTGAAACAAAATGGCGTCTGGTGAGAAACGAATGTGGTAGTCAAAGTCTCAACCTAAAAACAACACCTACAAGAGGATGTGCTTAAGAGTTCAATAAAGCAACGCCGAAATTATCTCGGAAAGTCAAATTGCTATTCGGCTCTTTCGGTTTTCGTTATGGCTTTCTTTTCGTACAGTAACCCACGTTTCTAGAAACGTGCTATCCAATATATCAGTAGGTACATCCCTGATGAGTTAACGTAAACTATTTCCCATCATACCTCAACGACGGGTGTCTCCTCGGCGGCCTTCTCCTCTGCCGCCTTCTCCTCAGCGGGCTTGAAGCTCAGCGGCAGGCCGTGGATGTAAGGGTAGGCGGCGTACGTCACCGGGTAAGTCACCGGGTGTGCGGCGTAGGTCACCGGGTGGGCCGCGTAGGTGACCTGCTTCACCGCCTCAGTGGCCGGCTTGTCCGAGTAGGTGACGGCATGGCTGGCGTACGGGAAGGGCGCCAGGCCGCTGTAGAAGGAGGGCACCACTCCCGCGTGGTAGAGGAATTTCTGCTCGGCCGAGACGGCACAGAGCACGGCGAGAACAACCTGACGGCAAAAGGGGAGCGCGGAACGAGCGGTGATCACACAGATACATAACGTTGACTTTGCAACAAAATTAACCCTCGCCCATGTAGGGGGGGGGGGGTTGGTGCAACCCCCCCCCTGAGGTTTTTCGGAAATAGTGCAAAAACGGCGGCGCGCAACGCCGCCAAATTTTGGGTACCTTATGGGGCAAACCTTGCGCATCTTTTGATAAAAAAAAATTGACCGGGTCATGTCAGGTCACGGAGTTATGACGTCACAAAGGGAACAGCCTCCGGCCGGATTTTCACAAACTGATTGCCAACGCCCGAGGTTTCCTGCCGGTGGTACGGACATCGGTTTATGGATCGTGATGAAACTTCCCATGCATGTTGGGGCAAGTATTGGCTATCATATGGTATAAGAAACTTGACCGGGTCAGGTCAGGTCACGGAGCTATGACGTCACAAGAGGAACAACGTCCGGTACTATTTTTGAAAAGCGCCCGAACCACTATTTTGCTAATTCTTGTCACCTCAATGGGAATATGCAGCAATATTAGCTTCTATAGGGAGCAAATGGACATCTCAAATCCAAAAAATACAATCAGATTTCAAAAATTTAAATTTTGATTTTTCGAATTTCTGCCGCCGACTGTGACCTTGCCGACTTCCGGCGCTCCCAACGCGCCATTTTTAGAGCTAGGGAAACGAAATACATACCAAACGATAGAGAATTGAGCAAGGAACACGATAGTGAAAGTTTCAAGTCGATATCTCCCACCGTTTTGCCGTAATCGCCGCGGAAAATTTGAAAAAGTCTATTTTTCCGAAAATGTGACCTTTGACCGGTCAAAAGTAGGTCAAATGTTGACCTAGGACCAAAAAATATACCACCAATCGCGAGATCTCGGCGAGAGCAATCCGTTGGTCTTTTCCGCTAAGCTCTACGACGCTCCGTTTTCAAACGCCAAGGGGGGGGGGGTCGCACCAACCCCCCCCTGCATGGGCGAAGGTGGCAGATCGCCGTTTACGGGCGAGGGTTAAGATATGATATAGGCATGTATGGTTTGCGAATTAACTCAAAAAGTGATGTTTTATGAGTTAAAAGTTCAGAGCTAAAAGAAACTGTGCAAATCGCACATGCATCAATCCTCGACCGCATGACATAAAAGTTAAAGCGTTAAAGACCCATTAAGAGTCGGCGTGGGAACTAATTCTCCCTAAAACGGCACGTTTGTCCTTGGAGAGAAGTCATCAGCCTGACACGTGGTTTAGTGGAGTTACATTCAGAACAGTTAATCATAGTTATTTGGAGCCAGCTTATCGGCCAACAACAGGCCCAGCTAGCGCCAGCCCGCCGTCGGGGAGGTACTCACCAGCAGCTTCATTGCGGCGGGGGGACGGTCTCGAGGATCGGCGGTCCTGAGCTGTGCCTGCCGACGGGCCGGTGCCCGTTTTATACCCGGCTCCGGGGCCCTGCGGCGGACTGGTGGTCCGGGATGGCTCGGTAAAACATCCTGCGGCCAGCCCGCTGCTCGGCTCTGACCTTGGAGCCGGAACATCCTCCGCGTGGAGGGCGTGGTCGACGCCGCTGTCAGCTTCTCGCCACCGATACAGGGTCACCGACCTGACGGGCGGAGCGGGCTCCGGACAGCTGGTCAGCTGCCGCAGACAGCCGGCGAGCTGCCACAGCTCAGGACAGCTGGTGAAGTGCCCTAGCTTACACAGTTGGTGAGCTGCCACAGCCACAGATAGCTGCAGTGAGCTTACGCAGCTCCGGACAGTTAGCGAGCTGTCGTTATAGCCTTGCTCTATCACCGGGGTTTAGTACATATTGAATCGCGGTTTTCCTGCGGTACGGTGCGTCGGGAGCTCATGAGAAGGTAGGCTGTCCCGCAGCACTTGTGTTCTGCGGCACAGTCTATCTATCGCCTATCGTCTCGTCTCCGCCGTTTCTTCACAGGTTGTGGCTGCGTGCAGCCGCAGTGTGGGCTGCAGAGGGAACTGACATTGTGTCATCCTCCTAGTCCAAAAATTTGGTATCCGATTGACATCCAGTGGCGGATCTACGTTGGGGCAAAATGGGCAATTGCCCCCCCTAAACGGAAAACCTCTGGGCAAACATATCTTTTTGCCCCCCCTAAAAAACTACAACTTGAATACTAAAAATATGGTGTTTGAAAAGAAAATGTGAAATAAATGGAGGACTAGAAGGTTGTCATATTCGTGATATTAAGTTGTGAGCTGATAAAAAGTCCTCCGCCCCATGAATGTCAGTCCATCATCCATCAGCAGTGCTACTACTGCTACTGCTACCAAAAAAAAAAAAAAATAACGCGATTTATTGAAACCTTGAACCAAGTAAACAAACCGTCAACAGCAGACCGCCAGACGCCAGTGGGGTCAGGGGTCACCACAACTGGTGAGCGGTTGGACAGTGGTGGGTTTGCATGGGTATATAAGAAGTGTTTGCATAATATTTTATTGCTAGATAGCATGGATGTAGGTCGTAGGAGCTGAAAAAATATTGGTGGGTTTAAATATCCATTAGTACCTAGCATTTCCACTGAACGATATGGTTGAGCTACTGCCGCTGTGTCACTCAGTGATGGCCAGAAAGAACGGTGTACTGCGTGCCTTTGAGAACAAGTGCGAGATAGGTTTCTGAGAGGAATAACGTAAAGAAGATTACCAATCGCGGCTTTTTCATGAGCCATACCGTTATCTATAAAGGCCGTGTTACACTGCCGAATTTTGGCCACGACCCTGTCGCCGAATCACGTCGTGTAGGAAATCGGCGAACAGTTTACCGACAGAGGCGAACAGTTCGCCGACAGAGCCCGATTTGCAGAAAACGGGTGGGGGGCCCCCCTAATCGTGCGCGGGTCGAAGCTGATCCATGATTCGGCGAACATCGCGAATGAATGGCGAATCTGTTGCGAATAGTCGGCGATACCTTGGCAACAAGTCGACGCACGCAGCGACATGTCGGCGGCGACTCGGCGACTGTTTGGCGATCATGTTCGTTTATTATAAATTCGGCGAACGGCCACGAAATTTTCATTTTTCATGAAATATTCGTGGCGGTCGTGACGAACCGTAAAAGTCGCGCGGTGGACACCGACTGGTCTGCGAAATGCCAAGACCGTGGAAGAAAGATCCCGAATCGGTCCGCGACATAGGATGACTTGCATATTCGTGCACACTCGTGTACCAAAATTCGGCAGTGTAAAGGCCGTGTAACGGGGACAAACACAGAAGGGCTCAGTCAGAGCTTTTGGTTTGCGAGGTGTTCGAGAAGCTCAGTATGTTGTGGGAACGCTGTTCAGTGTGATTCCGTTGGCTGTTGCGCTGTGGTCCTATGTAGTCTGTAGAAGCATCGTTTATCTCCTCTCGAAAGTAACACTTATTGTATAATTTTGCTAGCTCGCGAAGTTTAGTCCCAAAGTTAAGGAATGTTCATTGTAATTGCATCAATAAATGCAGGACCGAAAACAAATGCGCTGTTCGTCTATTTCTTGTTGGGATTCTTAATCGACTGATCTCATTTTCTATTACCGGAAACAACTGTTAATACGTTTAACTACGTGGCAACCCTGACTGCGTATAGTATCGCAGGTACGTACGCTGATGTGGCCTTTGGTCGTACTCGTGGGCATTTACACATGAACCTGCTGCTGCCACCCTTATCGGTCTCCGGATACAGAAGCCCTTGAGAACCGGCGCGGGCGGACCTTTCGGACGAGGTCTTGCCGAGGTGATGCGGGAGGTAGAGGACGGACCGTCCATAGCGCCGGTGAGCTATTCTCTAACTATCTCCCGGAGTCAGGGTGGCTGCAATTTTTTTTGCGCTGCCCTGGCTTGGCCGGACTGACAAAAATGTAAAAAATAAAAAAATAGTAATTCCCGAAATCCGAGGAGAAAAATAGGGGTAGCTCGTTTTTTTTTTTTTTTTTGTTCCTAAGACTGGACATTTGAAATTCTCGCGGACTTGCCTGGCGGCGCAATGTTTGCCCCCCCTAAACTCAAATCCTAGATCCGCCACTGTATCTAGTAGATACTGCACTACTGCATTAAAGAACGCTTTGATGCATAATCAGGCAACGAAATACAAAAACAAGTCCAATGGCTTACTTCTTTTGGATACCTACATCTCCACAAAAACCCATCATAATTGAGACGATAACACGAGCAAGTAATAGCCGTTTGTTTTGACGGAATTTCTCACGATGTGAAAAGAAATAAATGAAAAAATAAATACTTTTATTCCAGCCTAATTAGATCAGAGTGTGCGATTTACAGAGATGTTCTGTAAACACTGTACCTAAACACTGTCTATAGATGTTTCCCCCATTTCTGGGATGCGTCGGTAACAGGAGCGGATCCAGGAAACCTCCTTGGGGAGGGCCATGAATCGAAGTGTTGCCCCTACCTATATCCAAAATTAAAAACTTAAGGATTTCGACTACCTAATTTTGGTGGTGCATTATTTTGAGTTTTCCTTTTTTTTTTCTTCATTTTTTGCCCCTGCTAGGCCGGTGGTGCCCCTGGCAGGCACGTGGAGTCCCTGCTAAGCCCAAGGTGCCCCTTCGAGGCCGGTGTGCCCCTGGCAGGCCTGTGGTGCCACTGCTAGGACTCTGGTGGTTCTGGTGCCCCTGACAGGCCTGTGGTGCCCTTGCTAGACCTGTTGTGCCCCTGACAGGCCTGTGGTGCCCCTGACTGGCTTATGGTGCCCTTGCTAGACCTGTTGTGCCCCTGGTGGGCCTGTATAGTGACCCTGCTAGGTCGCTGGTGCCCCTGGGCCCTGAAAGGACTGTGGTGTCCCTGACAAGCCTAAAGTGCCCTCAACAGGCCTGTGGTACCCCTGACAGGTCCAAGGTACGTACCCCTGCGAGGCCGTTGGTGCTCCTGGCAGGCCTCTCGTGCCCCTGGCAAGCCTGTGGTGCCCTTACTAGGCTGATGGTGCTACTGACAGGCCTGCGGTGACTCTGACAAGCCTTTGGTGCCCCTGACAGGCCGTTGTGCCCCTGGGCCCTAAGGGGGATCATGACCCATGTAACCCCCCCCCTCCCCCTTGGATCCGCCACTGATTGGTGAGGTGTGTTACCTCGACTTCCCCGGGTAATCCTACATAGTTAGTTTAGGCGATCAGTGGCCAGTGGCCCAGTGGTATCAGGTAGGTAGCATAGAATGCTGTCAGTCGTCCCACGCCGGGCCATAATCCTGCATAATCCCGCATGCCGGAGAACCCTGGTGGGCGTTGTCAGCGTCTATAGTTCTGCCTTCCGCCGCCAGAGGCGGGCAGGTGTGCACTGTGCATGTTCTTCCCTACCGCTCACACCGGCAAATCACGCCTTCCGTATGTTTCCATCGCTCAGATTTGTTAGATCCTTCTACTCCACGCCAAAAGCCTCTGATCCGGGTTGGACGGTCACTGTTATACTATGTGAATGCCTCCTCAGGAGCAGGTTCACGTGCGGTGGGGTGACCGTTTGCGAGACCGGTTGGCCCTGGGTTGGCCTGCCCAGTGCCCATGCTCGCTCCAGGCCCCGGCGGCTCACCAGGGTGACTGCCCAGGTCTCTCCCTAATTTCCATTAGCCTTCTGGCTCTGAAAAGGTTTCGTTAGACCTGGGACCGATTCGCGTTGGCGCACTAAGGCCCTAGTGACACTTGATTTCAAGCGTCACCTGCGATTTCGGTTCGCGCTGAGCCACTGGCCGATTGGTGTAAAATGCCGCTTAGTGTCACTACATTCAAGTGTCACTTGGCCGCCTAGTCTTACTACCTTCCTAGTGCGCCATCTCGAATCGGCCCCAGGACCCGACTCTAAAAAAAGGCCGGGCGGTTACACAGATAAGATTTTCACTCGTTTTCAGGAGCGTCTTACAAGTCGGGTATTTAATGCTTGCTTTTCTTTGCATCATGACTCATTTTTTTCACTGAATTTCTTTCTACTCTTAATTTTTCACCGGTCTTAGATTTTAATATGTTTGAGCCGTTTTCACGTCGGGCTATCCGGCAAATGCACCTAATTTGACCAAATCTGCACCTAATTTCTTTTACAGTAAATATCTTAATTTTATGAATTCATTTCAATGTTTTAATCGATGATGCTCTCTGATAATATGACAAAGCAGGCATATAAGCAATTAGTGCAACCCTAGCTGATAGCTGCTAAGAGACACACTGAACCTGATTTGACCAGATCTGCACCTAAACTGTACCAGATGTGCACCAAATGTGTACCAGATGGCCGTCTTGAAAACGGCTAATGTTGCTCCCATGCTCCCATGCATTAGGGTGGGTGTCAAGGTCACCGGAAGGTCAAGTCAGTCATTGACCTTTGATGACCTTCTGAAGCTTAGGAACGATTAGCCAGACTGCAATCAAACTTTGAATGTAGCTTATATATTTCGTCACCCTTGCATCTGCAACTTTAGCTATTGACATCTTCTTTTCGATCACTCCGCATTAAACAATCGCCAGTCAAAGCCAACCGTTGAGATTGGTAAAACCCTCCATTACTTTAGCGGTGGGCTGTACCTCCATACCCGGCCATGATAAGAGATAGCGCGTAGGCACTTGTGCCACGAGTTACAGAATACTTAACTTGAGAGTAGCTCTCTTACCTACATTTGGTAGTTATAAAAGCCAGAATGAATGCAGCTAAGCTTTTACCTATGCTCATGAACGATTGATTTGAATTTTGATGATCGAATTGACGTACCACTGCCGTGCGTATGACTTTATAAGGCATGAGTCATTGACTGTCTGTAACGGCTTTTCCAAGACCATTGCGTAGCAAAACATTCATGCGCGCAATACATTTTGCAGTAAACTTTCGGGCCAGACAGCTGGCTTTTCCATATAAGCGTTAGCGAAAAAAATCACAGAGCCGTTTGACATTAGTCCGTTTGGTTACAACCGAGTTTGGGGCGAGACATGTTCGTATACAGTCGCCTTGGGCGCATCAGTCGCGTTGGCGCCCGTTGAATATACAGTTCACTCTGTTTATAGTTTGCCGTTGCAGTGCAGGTATATAAGACCAAAATCCAGCTTTCAGCTTCAGCAGTCTGATCCGTCTTGCTCGCCAAGCTGCACCCTGTTCAGTCTTACTACAGTGTGTCTCCTGTTCTGTTCTCGATCCACCCCAGACGGTCTGCCATCCCTCGCCCCGCGCCATGCAGCCCACGGTGCTGGTGTCTGTCCTACTGCTGCTCGTCTGTCTGGGCTCGGTGCAACCTACTGCCTCCAGTGTCAGTCCACCAACTCACAACGTCTCCCTGAGCTCTGTCCTGAGCCGGTCGGCCGCCATTCTCGGCCAGGCGGCTCAGTCCGCCCTGCTGGCCCTCACCGACGGACTGGACAGCCTGCTGGAGGAAGTTCAGACGCAGCTGGACGGCAGGGTGGCAGCCTCTCAGGCGGAGCTAGTCAGCCGGATAGACTCCATGAAGACGGAGCTAGATGGCCGTATAGACTCCCTGAAGATTGAGCTAGACGGCCGGACAGACAACCTGGATACGAAGCTGTCTGACCGTCTCTCTGAGCTGTCTGGCCGTCTCTCCGAGCTATCCGGCCGTTTGGACGAGATCAGCGCTGGTCGTACCACCGGAGTCCGCCTGCCGCGCGACTGCAGTGACCTGGAGAGCGGCTCTGTGAGCGGTGTTCACCTGCTACAGCCCGGCCTGGAGCCCTCCCAGAGGCCGGTGGCCGCCTACTGCGAGCTGCCGGCCGACGGCGGCGGCTGGACCGTCATCCAGCGGCGCGCCGACATCTCCCCGCGGGAGGACTTTTTCCGCGGCTGGGCCGCCTACCGGGAGGGGTTCGGCGAGCTGGACGCCGAGTTCTGGTGGGGCCTGCAGCACGTGCGGGCGATCACCGCCGCCAGAGACCGGCGCTACGAGCTCCGTGTCGGCCTGGAGGACTTTGACGGCGCTCGGCGACACGCCGTGTACCAGGGCTTCCGCATCTCCTCTGAGGAGGACGGCTACCGGCTGCGGGCGGTCAACTACACGGGCACCGCCGGCGACAGCATCGGAGGACACTCCGGCATGAAGTTCTCGACGGTGGACCGCGACCAGGACTCGCACAGCGCTGGTAACTGCGCCCGGAACCACAAAGCCGGCTGGTGGTTCAGCGCTTGTCATTCATCAAACCTCAACGGCCCTTACCTGGCCGGACAGCACGATAGTTCTGCAGACGGTGTAAACTGGCAAGCGTGGAGGGGCTACCACTACTCTCTGAAAACAGTGACCATGAAAATTAGACCCACCAAAAAACTGTAATAGAGGTAGAACTCTGAAACAGCTCCAATCTCTCCTCGAATAACTATTGCTTCATCTTGGTGCCGCTTTTGCAGTGACATGGCCTCTCCGAGGTGTCAGGTGGCTCAATCAGGGGCACGAAACCCGCGGGTGCCAACACTGCCAAGAGAATAGATAGCAGCTGTCCTGGCTTGGCATGGTAGTTGTCAGTTGGGGTCATATACGAGGGGGTATCGAAAAGTTCTGATCATCACCACGAATGAGATGCGATAGAAATTTGATTTTTTTACATAATGTTCATTACTCCTTTAGAAGTCACCACACACGACCGCAAACTTATTGCATCGTTTCTTGAGCTGCCTCAGGCGGTCATTGTAGGACCTTCGCACTGTCCCGTAAATCACTGCTCCATCTCATCAATGACGTCATTTCTGTCCTTAAATCACCGGCCATACTGCGGATTCTTCATCTCCCGTAACAATCAAGAGTCAGTTAATACCCGGTCAGGTGAATTTCTTAGATGCGGTAGGATTTAATGTCCACAACATGTTTACTCTTCAATCGCAGCTCAGGACGAATGGGCGGGAGCGCTGTCGGTGCGGATAAAACATCTTTCTTGGCCTTTTTTGCGGCGATTCTGCTTGAGGCCATCTCGCAACTTCTTCAAAAGTGTGCAGTGGTGCTTGCTTATCATTATCCGACCATAATCAAGACAGTCGGTAATGACTATCCTACGCCAGATCCAGAACACTGATAGCATTGACCTTCCATATCGGCTTCTGCATCTTCGCCTTTTAAGAAGGACAGATGTGTCGTGCTTAAACTTCTTGATCATCTTTTTGTCTCTGGATCATGCACATAGACCCAGCATTCGTCACAAGTCATCAAATTATCGAAGATGTCTTCAATTTCCTAAAAAAAACCTAGTTTTGATTTCGAAGGGCCAAGACGCATTTTTCTCTTGAACAAAGTAGACACACGAACTTCTAAGCGGGCTGACTCCTTTATCGTCTGTAGTTCTTCGCTGATAATATTTTCAGGCACTGCCAGCATTGAGACCTTTCTGTTGCACAATCATCTGAAAGGTCACACGACGATCTGTAAGGATGAGGTCCTCCACTTCCTTCACAGTCACCACCTTGTCAGTCACTGGTAGCCACTCACTTCTTGACTCCCCTGCAAGGGCCATGCAACCAAGTTGGAAATTATTTCTTCATTTTCGGTAAGTGCATGAGATGGGCTTTCCTCGCCATAAACTGGTTTCACGTTCTTGATGTATTTTCTCAGTGTGATACCGTTTCAAATGCATTAGTTGGATGACGGTTCGGTCCTCAATGGGCCCAATACTCATCTTTTTTACTTCTAAGTCTCTCCTACATAAGATAAAACCACTTCTCAGGATTCTCTTTGCGGGAACATTGTTCTTAAGAACCAAATATAATACAAACCAAAAATCATCAAAATCGGTCTACATCTTCTATGTGATGATCAGAACTTTCCGATACCCCCTCGTATTTGTGTCGCTTTGCTTGATTTCTGTGCTGGTTTATTCTGAATCTTTTGTTTCATCGCTGTCGCCAGTGTAGCGTCAGGTCGACGTTCGTCTGTGATTTGCATGTTGAATAAACATTGTTTAAAAAAAATCGAACAGAAATATAAAGCAGACATGTATGAAATAATTGCTGCAGACATGTTGCGAGAGAATGATCATGCCACAGACTTCTCTTATATGAAAGTCTGTGATTAAACTTATTGTGGAATTAATCAATACTGCGAGGAACGAAGATATTAGGACTACAGTCAGCAGGCTTGCCCGAAGTAACGTTGCTTAAAATGAGAGTAAATAGGTCTCACGACCAATTTAGGTACTCTTTAAGTAGCTTTAAGCCGTAAACGTTAAAAATCTTATGATATCATTCCATCAGCTGTCGCTTCATTTTTGTTTTATTTTCACAAGGCATCCTTCGACTTGTTATTGACGGATCAGAGATCCGCGCCAGAGATCCGTTTATTTAACCATGCGTAGAAATTATGCGAAAGAACATTGAGCACTTCACCCAGTCCACGTTGTTTTCTCTTAACTCTTTTTGCAAGCTGCACTCTTCATTATTTGCTCCCCACCCCCTCCAGACGACGTCTCTAAGTATCAGTTTCCCGACACCACGGACAAGCTGACTGGTAAAGCAGCCGTCAGGTCAGCAGCACACAGACAATGAGTGTGAGAGGACCGCCAGAGAGGTCAACTCAGCAGGCATACGAGTAGGTGAAGAATTGTGCCAAGTTGGGGTGCTCGGGCGCAGCCAATCCGCCGTAGGGCGCAAAGCCAATCCGGCGTGGAATTGGAAGAGCTCGAGCACCCCCAGTCCAGCACAATTCTCCAGGTCTATGTCAGCAGGTCAGCGCTGCGGGGTCACCGGGAGGTCTCAGTGGTGACCTTGCCGGGTCACTGGGAGGACCTCAGTGGTGACCCAGGCGTGGTCACCGGGAGGCCTCAGTGGCGACCCTAGCGCGGGTGATCGTACGACACGTAGATGCTGTTGTTCGGTTCCTCCACGTAGTAGGAGCCGCGCGTCCCGCTGGCATCGATGGTCTCCTGCTTACCCTGGGGAAAAATGGAACCAGTCAGCGTGGATAGAGACTGATCGGCTGTTTAATTGCGTGTTACTTTGTATTAACCATTTTCACGACGGCTATCTGGTACATATTTGGTGCATATTTGTACAGATTTGGTCAAATTAGGTTCATAGTTGTTTTTAGTAAGTTTCCAGCTTAGTACCTAAGTAATCGCTTATCATTTATGTAATGTATAAAGCTGTCTGACGTTATTTTTCATTAAAATATTAAACGAAATTAATGAACTGAGGATAAGTTAGTTGAAAAACATACAATATGCAATTCAACTACCGCAGTCACAAATGATTCCAAGCCAAATAATTTGTGCCACGGCCGCCACGGCCGCACATATACCTATTTCATATGAATCTGGCGCAGTATCTACAGACATCTGCGAACCAACGTAACTTAGGTATGTTTTAATAAAAATTTATTTCTGATTACTTGAGAAATCATTCAAGTGATCAACGCTTCCTAGGCTGGAAGCCTACAAAACAATTATGAACCTAATTTGACCAAATATGCACCTAATGCGTACCAAATGTACCAGATAGCGTTCGTGAAAACGGCTATTTTAGGTATCCTAAAGTGAAATTACCAGTACCAACCTACTTCACTACCTACACCTCCGCTGTACCTGCTGTGCTTTTACCTACTGTGTTGTACCTGTGGTATTACCTGCTGTGCTATATCTACTGTGCTATTCAGAAAGTTGACAAGTGACCGATACCCACATGTTCGGCAGCCAATTGTCAGCCAGCCAAGTGATGACAATTGTCGGAGCGTATGTATCAACAAACTTGTAACCAAACCTCAAACATCAGATATCAATGTGTTATTTCACCAGCATTTTAAAAGTGTACGAAATGTCACTTTTTTGCGAACTTCCTCATGCTAAATTGCACGAGATTAGCATGTGACTTACCTGACTGGCCCCATACTTGGGGTAGTTGACGTGATAGCGGTAGTAGACGTTACTGCCAGAGTAGCCGGGACAGCCGGGTTTGCCGTGACACGGGCTCGGCGGCACATGCACGCTATAGTCGCCGTAGTAGCCGCCATCATCAGCTAGCGCCAGAGCAGCCAGACACAGAAGAACCAGGACCTGACAGAAAGGGGCAGAGACAAGAAGGTCAGAGACCGACTTGCACGAAACATATCGGCTTGGTAGGGCCAGAGCCTGTCAGAAACAGACAGAGACAAAGCCAGAGGAATTGCCGACTGCTATGGAATCCCACAATAAGACCATGGCCCGGCACGTTCACAAACAGAAAAGCTGTCTCGTGACTGTATAAAACGATCACTCAGTGGCCACTGCTAGTGGGTCAGATGTACGAATGAAAACGCTTCTATTCCAAGATGAAAAAGACGAAGGTACAGATGACTACCTCAGAACCCATAAGCCTTTGCCTTTGCAACTTGAATGGGATTGTCAGCATCGGTTGGCTGTAGCCTGTATTTCTCACCTTCATGATGCCTGCAGTTGTGTCTATCGAGTGTCCGTTGAGTTCACTGTGCTCCTGCGATCGCCGGTTTCTGTATTTATAGAGCGGTATGTCGCGCTGATAGCCCTTCCCTCCGTCCGTTTGTGGTCAGGGCGGGGCACCGGGTGGGGCCCCAGAGACTTTGGGGACGGTGTCCGGGGCTGACGTGATTTGGCGTCGCATGACACCGTCCGCGGGTTTCCTCAGTAGAGGCCCGCTTAACAAGAAGGAGGGGCTAAGTGACGGCCTCCTTCAATCGGGACTTGCGATCCGGATCAGTGCATGTGCTCGAGAACCAGTTTACTATTTAACCGCAACGACATACGACCGTGCATGCTGAACAAAGTATTAGACTTTTGGTAACAGGCGTCAAACATAAGAAGAGTTCTAATACTGTATCTGCCGTTTAAGTTCAGGACCAATTGAAGGCCATGTCCCAGCCACTTGGCGTAATTTGCAACTATGCGTCACCATAGCTATAAGTGAAAAAATGAAAATAATGCTCACAATTTTTCGCGATGGGCTAGTCCACTTAACAAACCACTCTTTTATCAGAGTCACCAAACTATATATCCTCCTTTAACCCTCGCCGGGCCTATTGGTTTTCTATAGGTATACGCGCCGGCCGAGGGGGGGGGGCAAGTACGAACCCCCCCCCCCAGCCGTTTCGTCCCTGGTGGAGCTAGCGCTTCGCGGAAAAAACGAGCGTGTGCGCCGTTAAGAGACGCAGGGATTGATTACGAGCGAGCGAGCGCAGCGAGCGAAGCGATGTCTTTTCAATATAACGGAAAAATCTCAGTATGAGCGGCCCGGCCCGGCCCGGCCTGTAACGCTTTTGAGAGGCTTATATCTCAGCAACCGCTGGACCGATTGGCCTGCGGTCTTTTTTGCTGGGTAGCCCCATCCCTTCTACCCCGTAATTGACTACTTTTGATACATCTCAGTGACCGTCGTGGCACGTGCCACGTGAAAAGTCAAGGGTGTTCAAGCAGTTTTGCAAAAGTAATGATTTTGAGAGGCCCATATCTCAGCAGCGGCTTGAGCGATTGTCTTGCGGTAATTTTTATAGGGTAGCTGCATCCCTTCTACCGAAGGTCGGATACTCTTGATCTATGTGAGTGACCCCCACTGCACGTGCAAAATAAAAAAGAAGAGGTGCCAAATTTGTTCCCATTTCAGTAACTCGGTAATTACTGGGGCGATTTCGCTGAAACTTGGCATACAGGTAGGCACCCACCAGGCAATGAATTCCCATGTGTTGCGGTTAGGGTGCTACTGCACGTGCGCACGTGCAGGGGGCGTTTCCAGATCTCGAGAACGGCTGGGCCGATTGCGCTCAAATTTGGTACACGGTTGGGGACCGGTTAGTAGGGTGCCGTGCAAAAGTCATTTTGGACCCCGTTTGCACGTGCGCACGTGCAGAATGCCGCTTCCAGATCTCAGGAACGGCTGGGCCGATTGCGTTCAAATTTGGCACACCGCTAGCGACCGGTTAGAAGGGTGCTTTGCACAAGCACGTTGGAAGTACCCTCTCGCCCTTGCGCACGTGCAGGGCTCACTATCTCGCTCGCTCGTTCTTTGCCCAAAAGGCGTTTTACTGGTATCCGATTTTAAGGTCCTAGGTCAACCGGTGGCCTCTGAGGTCAGGTCAATTGCCCCAAGGTATGGTTCCGTTTTTGGTGAATAACTTCGCAAAAAACGGCCGCAGAGCCGCTATTTTGGCAGCATCGTGTTCGCCTTGCTCAGGTGCGTCGAATGATATACTATTTGTTTGTGTGAGGTCAACTTAGGGTGCTAACCTCGGATCACGGTCAGGTCAGCGCCCCCAGGTCACTAAATTGGTTGAAAGAGGTCATGTCGCATATTTTTCGATTCGGCAGGTCTTCCTGAGTCCATTGGTGGCTTTCGCGACTGGCTAGCTCAATTTGATCGGGAGGTTATTGACGAAACACTAATATGACCCTAATGACGTCATAAATGACGTCACGCAAGGTCAACATTGCAAAATTGATGCATTGAAGCTTGCAAGGAGTGCATGAAATCACGATTTTGTGTGCTTGAGTTAGTTGGAGATTGTTCCCGGCGCCAGAATAGTAGTTTTCATTTTTCCCCATTTACTTATACCTAACGGTGAAGTCATGAAAATGATCTGACCTCATATGACCTTTAGGAAAAATGGCCGAGATATACAGGCTGTGAGACTCCTGATGGATACTAGGTCCTGCAAGTTTCATTTCCCTGTGAAAGCTCCTCTGGCAGTGAGGGCGTTGCGAAGTTGCGACATCTGAAGGCCGTGCAGAGGTTCACTTATGACGTCATAGATCAGTGGCCTGACCTGACCTGAAAATGCGGTTGGTTTCAAAAGATCCGGCTTGAATTAAAGGTCAGGTATGCCAACGTCCATCAATTGAGCAGCAGATTGATATTCGCGAATATCAAACTAAAAATTCGATATTCGGACGGGGAACGCAATAACTCAAAAACAAATGAACCTATTTTGATGAAAAGACCGTCATTCGATTCCCTCAAAGGGAATCAAATGACGGTCTTTCCCTCAAAGGGAATCGAATGAGGGACCCTCAGGTCATGACCTTCAAGGTCAAGGTCAAGGTCAAAGGACGGGGAACGCTCTACAGCCTAAAGTTACCGTCCGATTGGCTTGTAAACGGTCTCAATCGATTCCCCGACCCCGATTCCAGGTTGACAGCGATTTCTAGGTCACTAGGTCATGACCTTCAAGGTCTAGGTCAAGGTTACAGGACAGGGAACGCTCTACAGCCTAAAGTTACCGTCCGATTGGCTTGTAAACGGTCTCAATCGATTCCCCGACCCCTATTACAGGTTGACAGCGATTTCTAGGTCACTAGAAATCGCTGAAACGAGGAATCGAATGAGGGTCTTTTCATCAAAATCGGTTCATTGGTTTTTGAGTTATTGTGTTCCCCGTCCGAATATCGAATTTTTAGTTTGATATTCGCGAATACCTATCAATCTGCTGCTCATTTGATGGACGTGGTATGCCAAGTTTTAGCTCTTTATGTCCGGCGTGTTTGGAGCTATCGCGAAAAAAGAACTATGGGGGCGGCAGCCCCCTGTGCTGTGTCAGGGTTCTTTGTGTCAGGTGTGAAAGGGCTGAATTATGTTCCATGTTTACTTTGTCTAGTCTCATACCTGCCTATGCGATGCAACGTATACGACGAGAAAAATTGCGAATTAATCTGACACTATGCATGACATGCGCCTATAAATCACAATTATGGAAAACATAGGTATGACGTTGGAGCTGGCAATGGCCGTGGCCCCTCACCGAGGAAAAGTTGGTGGAAGCCCCACAAAATGCTAAGTGGGAAACTCCTAGTCATAAACGAGCCACTGTAGCATTTTATAGGTCGCAGGTGATTGGACCCTTCCGATCACAATCTCTAGTCCATTATTAGCAAGTGATTCTGCTAAAAATGCTGGGAAACTTGCAACGCGGAAAATATTGGATATTGTTGTTGCGGCAACAGCATCGATTTATTGCTTATTTTGGAGTGAGGGATCCCCCGAAAAACAAGAAAGAGGAAACAAACGAAAATGGCGTAGGCAAACTTCGAAACAATTGAACACGAAACTATGAAATTGAAGTGCGAAAGCGATCGAACGATTACGAAAACGAAGCGAAAACGATCGAAGGAAGCGAAAGAAATTCGAACGAAGTGACGCCGATTCAAGCGATCGAGAATCGCTTCAGATGAATTCTATGTATAATTTGTGAGATGATCGCCAGTATAAATTAAGAGTTGAAATGTGTTTGGTGTTTGATTCGTATCGAACGCAACGCCATTTAGATCCTGTATGGCAATAGCAGTTTCGAAGTGCCCATTTACGTGAACTAAAGATATTCACAGCAAGATTGCAAGTGACAAACTCCCAAGATTCAGAAGAGAATGATATTGTGATCAAACACGATTGCTTGATTTGCTACACTTTGTTTTACCGAGCCACAAGCGGCATCTTGTTGATTTTACTAAGCATATTAAGTTCACATGTATCAAGAATGCAATGATTTGTCTGGCTACCTATGGTCTGCACAGGAGGTAAGGTCTTGAAACGAGCACAAGAAGAAACCATTGTGAATTGACATTACGGCTACAGGCGTCCATATCCGATCAGACTGTGTTTCATCCTGTGCTTCGTCCCGTGGGTTGTCCAGAGGTGTTAATTATTAAGTCTACCTAAATTAATTGTGAAAATTTCGGTAGTAGGTATTATGGAGGGGCTGAAGGTTGCAGAACTTAAAACAATCTTAAGGTCTCGGGGCATAAGTTGTAAAGGCAATAAGGAAACACTTCTAAAACGATTATGCGACGCCTTAGAGATACGCACTTCTGCGTCTCAATCAGAGCATGTTGCAATTCAGCCAGATGATAGTGCATCCCAGATTAGATCTACTGTGTCAAATCGGTCCTCTAGTTGTAATTCAGCCAATTCTGAACTTAGGCGCGCAGAAGAAGCAGCTGATAGGGCTGCACTTGTTGAAAAAATGCGATCTTTGAGAGATAAACAATATATCGAGAGTAAAATAGCCGAACTTCGTCACGGGCAGGAATTATTAGAACTTCAGTCAACCATAAATGAGTTAGCTGCAAGGGAGCAGGCGTTTCAGGCTTATACGAGTCAAAATGGCGGCGTAAGCCCAGCACCAGCGAGCCAACCACATACACATACACAGTGCCCAATTCAACAGTCACACATAACGCAGACAGATAAGACCCTCGGCTCACAGCCTAGCCTCCATTTACCGCTGAACGAACGGCATCTAAAAAGTTCTCGAGATGATGTGCATTCTGAGCTGAAGGCAGAAAGAGAAAGAACGGCAGCATTGATGCGTCTTCCTCCTATAGAAATTAAGAAATTTGGCGGTGACATTACTCAGTTTGCACAATTTATTCGCAGTTTTGAGATGAAGATTGCGTCTAAGCTAGAAGACGACAGCGAAAAGTTGCATTATCTAGAACAAAATTTGGTCAGTGGAAGCAAACCGCACACTATCGTTGCCAGTTGTATGTATATTGAGGATGGCTATGAGCAGGCAATGCAAATTCTACGCAAACGTTATGGTCAACCGAGCACTATTGCAGCGGCGTTCATGGATAAAATTAATGACGAAGAACGGATGGAATTTGAAAATGGTGAAGATTTGGACAAATTTGCGCTTCTTCTGATGAGCTGTAAAAATGCATTGGGAAATGCATGCCATTTAATTAGTGATCCGCGAACGTTACGGAATATTACAGAAAAACTCCCCAGCTCACTTCTAAATAGATGGCGCAGGCGTGTTGATGATCTCGAAGAAATTCATGGGCGCTCCGCAGTTTTTGAAGACCTAGTCGAATTTGTCATGAAAGAGGCGAGAGTCGCTACAAACGCATCTTTTGGGCAGCACATGTACGATGGCAGTCGAGGAAACGGTAAGAAGCAAATTAATGGATCATTTTCTATGGTACAAAATCAAGAGTCACTAGTGTCAGCGACACAAGCACATGATTATTCGACATGTTTGTTTTGCGGGGACAACTCGCATTACCTCCCCGAGTGTGCTAAGCTGAAGGAAATGTCTACAGAAGAAAAGAAGTCATTTGTGATGAGAAACTCGCTTTGCTTTGGGTGTCTTCGCAGAGGTCACAGGCAAAATTTGTGCCGGAGACCGGCAAGATGTCGCACGTGCAATCGAAGTCATCCAACTGCTTTACACGAACACGATGGTCCAGGGAATCTGCGAGGCGTGCCGCCTCAAGAACAGCCGGGAACACAAGGCGAAGCTGATGGGGCTAAGGTCACTTCGTGTCGCATTTCAACGGGAAGTCAGAAGTGTGGAGCCATTTTACCCATTGTGGCTGTAAAGGCTAAGAGTGCATCAGGCCACTGCACAACGTTCGCCTTTCTCGATAGCGGGTCGACGCACTCATTCATATCCACGTCACTTATGCACAAGCTTAATTTAGGACATTTGCCCGGTCGCCAGCTGACACTGACGACAGTGGATCGGGCCGTTTCCGTACCGACTCAAGTAGTGGCTGGCCTGTCTATTACGGATTTGGAGGGCGAAAATCATCTGTCATTACCAGTACTATATACACTACCAAACTTACCAGTTGAAGCAGGCCAGTTTCCCAAAGCAGAAGATTTGGAGGAGTGGGATCATTTGCAGGATATCGTTTTACCCCAACCAGAAATTTCAGAAGTTGGTTTGCTGTTGGGTGCTAATGCGTTTTTGGCAATGGAGCCATTAAGGGTTATCCCAAGTGTCAATGGTAGCCCGTATGCGACGCTGACCAGATTCGGATGGGTAATATGTGGTTTGAATCAGACGGCAGGCCCACCTGACGTTACAACGGTTTGCAAGACAACTGTCACTGAAGGTGAATCTCTGGAAGAAATGAGCAAGTCATCAAACAACCATAAATACGCGGAACATTTGCATTGCACGAAAAGAGAGTTGTCCGCCGCAGATCGTTTGTGGATGAGGAAGGTGGAAAGTTCTGTTGCGTACAAAGGTGGTCAGTACAACGTCCCTCTGCACTTAACGGACGATCATGTCAAATTACCGAACATTCTTTATTTTGTGATTTTAGTGATTTTATTTTGTACAATTGTATCTTGCGTTGGAGAACGATTACAGAATGCTGACCTTGCTTATAACGCGAAACATCGCATCATAATGTTGTCCCATGAGAAGAACACAGAGATGCTCATGCTCATGCAAGACGTGCACAAAAGGCTGGGACACGCTGGACGGCAACACGTTTTGGCTGATGTGCAAGATGTAATGTGGTTCTTGGAAAGAAATGCCACGGTACGAAGGGGTTTGAGCACGTGTTTGTTTTGCAAGCGAAGATATCATTCGTCTTTGGGAAGACCTTTAGAAGGCATGACAACCAGCACATCAATGAAAAACGAGACTTTGGTGACTTTCATGTGCAAAGTTGAGGCAATTATAAACAGCAGACCACTGACACCAGTTTCCACTGATCACCTTGACACTGAGCCACTTTCTCCAAACCTCCTGCTACTCGCTGGTGCAGGGTACGACCTCGTTCCCGTCAATCTTTTTGACAAAACAGACAGCAACAGTCGTAAGAGATGGAAGCAGGCAGCTTATTACGCGGATATGTTTTGGAAACGCTGGCGGGCCGAATATTTGCCATTGCTCCAGGCTAGGCCACACCATTTAAGTAGAGCTAATCCAAATTTAGGTGTGGGCGATATTGTGGTAGTGGTTGACGAAAGTGTCCCACGAGGTCAATGGCCATTGGGTCGAGTACTTAGGGTGAAACACAGCGCTGATGGATTGGTTCGCTCTGTGGAACTGCAAGTCCGGGGCACAACGCTGCAGCGCCCAGTGACGAAGATTGTGAAACTGAACTGACAGTATATGACAAGGTTGAAACCTCAGGGACAGAGGTTTCAAGGGGAGGGTGTTGTTGCGGCAACAGCATCGATTTATTGCTTATTTTGGAGTGAGGGATCCCCCGAAACACAAGAAAAAATCTGGCTGCAAGAGGTTACTTAGTTTCATTAAAATGCGTGAGATGCATCTTAAAATCAACAAAAATTCAAAAAAGATAAAGAAAGAAAGAAAAACAAGAAAGAGGAAACAAACGAAAATGGCGTAGGCAAACTTCGAAACAATTGAACACGAAACTATGAAATTGAAGTGCGAAAGCGATCGAACGATTACGAAAACGAAGCGAAAACGATCGAAGGAAGCGAAAGAAATTCGAACGAAGTGACGCCGATTCAAGCGATCGAGAATCGCTTCAGATGAATTCTATGTATAATTTGTGAGATGATCGCCAGTATAAATTAAGAGTTGAAATGTGTTTGGTGTTTGATTCGTATCGAACGCAACGCCATTTAGATCCTGTATGGCAATAACAGATATATTGGCCCGTTTGGAAAGTCACAATGATTAATTCCAACCCCTAGGAAAGCGACGAACACACGAGGGGCCTCTTGAATGTCCGGACAGTTTCTAGCGATTTCGGGATGATCCCCTATTGCAGAGCCATGACCAGAAGTGAGCCCCCGATACAGGAAAACCGCGGACGAGTATTTGGCCATCGGGTCACGCCAGCCATCCGTACCGTCCACATGGCATCTGGGACCACGCCTGTGCCCCCGCCCTGACTACAAACGGACGGAGGGAGGGGTTGTCAGTGCGACATACCGCTCTATAAATACAGAAACCGGCGATCGCAGGAGCACAGCACACTCAACGGACATTCCGCAAACACAACTGCAGACATCATGAAGGTAAGAAATACAGCTGATTGGTGCTGACAACTGCGACAAGTGCATGTGCAGAATCTGCAACATGTTCAAACTAAAACATAATGGTTCTGGGGAGGGCCTACGTTTATGATGAGGTTGCTCTTTACTGTTAGTTAATTTTTGGCCATTGCTTACGTGCATGAGTATGCATTTCTACCCATGTAACCCAGTAACCGCGTCCCCGCCTCTGTCTGTGACCGTCACAGGTCTCTGTCTGTGACCGTCACAGGTCTCTGTCTGTGACCTATGGCTGTTTAATTTCCCGTCCGCCATGGACTCACGATGGCTATGTAAATGGCTCTGATATTCCTGTCTGTCATTGCAACAGGCTGCCGTTATCTATAGCGTCTGTTTATGGAAGAGTTGGTGACCTTCCGTTTAGAGATGTCAATCGGATACCAACTTTTTGGTATACCGATAGGCAATACCAAACCGATACGAACGTGGTAGTTGGTATTTCAACCCTAATGTGTTTGATATTTTATTGGTATCATGAATCGTCACTAATGTATATTGTATAAGAGGGTAAGAAATCGGTAAAAAAATGGTATTTCTCTCATGTTTCCACGTTGGTTTGGTTTCGGTATTTCCCCATGGTTTTGCTTGATAATTGGTTTGGTTATGAGGTTATCGGTGGAGCCAACAAATAACTAAATGCACTTACACTAACTAAATAACTAAATGCACTTTGTTGGCTCCACCGATAACCTCATAACACAAATATGTCCCTAAATAATCAGCAATTGGTTTGGTATCGGTATTCCGATTTTCCGTAATTGACATCACTACTTCCGTTTGTCTGACTGTTGCTGTGCCAGACCGTGGTGTTTCTGCGTCCATGTGGTTCTGCAACAGCCGGTGACCCTTCCGACTCTCTCTGTGTGTCCGGCAGATTCTGGTACTCCTATGCCTGGCGGCCCTGACGCTGGGTGACGACGATGTGTATCAATCGCACTACCATGATCACGACGGCCACCCCGGCGTGCCTCTGCCGCCGATCCCGTGCCACGGCAAACCAGGCTGTCCGCCGCCTCCCCCGCCACCCTGCGACAAGCCGGGCTGTCCCGGCTACCCGGTCCCCCCTCCCTCACCACCCTGCGACAAGCCGGGCTGTCCCGGCTACCCGGTCCCCTCTCCCAAACCCCCGTGTCACGGCAAGCCGGGCTGTCCCGGCTATCCGGTCCCCCCTCCCAAACCCCCGTGTCACGGCAAGCCGGGCTGTCCGGGCTACCCGGTCCCCCCTCCCAAACCCCCGTGCCACGGCAAGCCGGGCTGTCCCGGCTACCCGGTCCCCCCTCCCAAACCCCCGTGCCACGGCAAACCGGGCTGTCCCGGCTACCCGGTCCCCCCTCCCAAACCCCCGTGCCACGGCAAGCCGGGCTGTCCGGGCTACCCGGTCCCCCCTCCCAAACCCCCGTGCCACGGCAAGCCGGGCTGTCCGGGCTACCCGGTCCCCCCTCCCAAACCCCCGTGCCACGGCAAGCCGGGCTGTCCGGGCTACCCGGTCCCCCCTCCCAAACCCCCGTGCCACGGCAAGCCGGGCTGTCCCGGCTACCCGGTCCCCCCTCCTCAACCCCCGTGCCACGGCAAGCCGGGCTGTCCCGGCTACCCCGTCCCCCCTCCTCAGCCCCCGTGTCACGGCAAGCCGGGCTGTCCCGGCTACCCGGTCCCCCCTCCCAAACCCCCGTGTAACGGCAAGCCGGGCTGTCCTCCCCCTGTCCATCCACCTTGCGACAAGCCCGGCTGTCCCGGCTACTCTGGCAGTAACGTCTACTACCGCTATCACGTCAACTACCCCAAGTACTGGGCCAGCCAGGTAAGCAATTAAACGGTTTATAAAGCGAAGTTGCGTCATTTCCGTGAGGACAATTGTCCACATGGCATTACATGCATTATAAGTGTACGGATTTTGTGTTACGTTACATAGTGGTGGACACTGTGGTGCATATTGACCTAACCGCTTCGGGGTTTGCTCTCGAACAATTGTTATAACTTTTTCGGCTGGGTATCACCTAAGATCAGTCACTACCATCTTTCTGAGTATTGTGCAGCGTAGCGGTAGGTAGGTGCTCGTAATTGTGTGCTGTACAATGCAATACAATTAGCCGGTCAGTCTTAAGTCCGCGCTGACTGGTGCCATTTTTCCCCAGGGTAAGCAGGAGACCATTGATGCCAGCGGAACGCGCGGCTCATACTACGTGGAGCCTGGAGGAGCCGCTGAGTAGCATCTACGTGTCGTACGATCACCCGCGCAAGGGTCACCACTGAGGCCTCCCGGTGACCCCGTCAAGGTCACCACTGAGGTCCTCCCTGTGACCCCGTCAAGGTCACCACTGAGGTCCTCCCGGTGACCCCGCCGAGCTGACCTGCTGACCTCTCTGACGGTCCTCTCAGTCTCACACTCGGTGTCTGTGTGTTGCTGACCCCACAACTGTCATCAGTTAGTCTGTCCGTGTCGATTGGTGACGGAAATTTGATAGGAAGAGATGTCTGGAGAGAGTGGGAAGTGGATAATGAAGGATGAAGAAGAAGTTGGAAGAGGGGATAAGTGAGGAGTTGGGAGCGAAGGGTTGTAAATAGTTTCGTAGTGATAAATTTTTAGACACAGTGCTTTCTATTAGACTTCATTAGATATCCACTTCCACCATTCAACGGTCGCGGCTGATGTCTTCTGCTAATATAAAATGATTATACGACCTCAGTTTGCTTGAAGAATCGTTGCGATGTTATAAGTGCCGATGCACGTTGGAATGTAGGGATCGTGCTGACTGTAGGTATTCTCAATATTAGCCGTTTTCACGACGGCCATCTGATACACAATTTTGGTGCACATCTGATCTGGTACAGATTAGGTGCAGATCTGGTCAAATCAGGTTCAGTGTGTCTCTTAGCAGCTATCAGCTAGGGTGGTACTAATTGCTTATATGCCTGCTTTGTCATATTATCAGAGAGCATCATCGATTAAAACACTGAAATAAATTCATAAAATGAAGATATTTGCTGTAAAAGAAATTAGGTGCAGATTTGATCAAATCAGGTGCATTCGCCGGATAGCCCGTCGTGAAAACGTCTATTATCGCTCCTCGCTGTGCCCCGTGCCCCACTTTCTCATCCTCTCCGGGGAGGCTGCGTCACTGTCGGCCGCCAGTGCGCCACATTTGTGTTGGCTGCCGAAACTGGCTCCGTAAACACACATCGGGGTGACCCCGTCGTCACCGCCCGTGCGACAGTTCCGGAGAGGAGCTACCTTCCTCCGAAACAAAAACGGACGACGACAACCAATGGCGTGGGGCGGCCAATGAAAACTTGGTGCCAATATTGTTTGGTGCGAAATAAGCTGAGATAATTCCAACAATACGCCCGAAAACTTAGAGCATCAACTTTAAGCAAAAAAAAAAGATAGATAATACAACCGTTTGACGAGAAATCACATATTAAACAATGTAATGAGAGAAAGTTCAAAGTTTTATGAGTTGCTTTTCATCAGCAATGATATATGTCTAATGTGCAGTGCAGTCATGCACTCGAATGCTTCGTAAGCATACAAAATACTGCATATACCTACCTGCCTATGTTCGTAGGTACTTAATGCACACTACAGCCGTTTAAACGGTTCGACCGATTTCCACGGTGGGAAGTGGCGCGGGGAGCACAAGCCATGCGTCACGATTGTCACCGTCTGCACCGGCGAGTGGTGCTGTTGTTCCCGCAGAGCGGCGAAGGAGGGGCGCTGTTGGTGTATTTACATACCCGACAAACAGCGGTGGGGTTGGTGCCCTGTGCTACAGATCTCCCAGAGAACACCCCACGGCGCTGGGCAGACAGACAACAGAACACTGGGCGAGAGAGAGAGAGAGAGAGAGAGAGAGAGAGAGAGAGAGAGAGAGAGAGAGAGAGAGAGAGAGAGAGAGAGAGAGAGAGAGAGAGAGAGAGAGAGAGAGAGAGAGAGAGAGAGAGAGAGAGAGAAAGAGAGAAAGAGAGAGGGAGGGAGAGAGCGAGAGCGAGAGGGAGGGAGGGAGGTAGAGAGAAAGAAAGAGAGCCATCAAAAGACAGTTTTATGTTTAAAAGTAAGGTAAAGAAGGTAAATTTCTATTAAAAGTTGTGTACGCGCGAATGATTGATATCCCGATTTCACCAATAACTCGACTGATTCTCGACTCCAAGTAAGTTCCATAAGTGATTGTCTCCGAACGCACAAACGATTTGGCTGTTTGTCCTTAGTTTGGCCTTAGGATTACAGTCGAGATGAATTCATATTTCAGCGCGTTGCAATTGAAGTTTATTTTTTAAAAGCTTATTTGTGAAGTTTAACGGTTGGGCTTAGCATATTCAAACACATAATGGCCGGCAAATTCACCAAAAGCACACCCATACAGCCGCACGGAACTGGTTTCCGAGCCCAGATTCCACGTGGGTGGGCCACGTCCCGTCCCTGTAAATATAGCGCCGATAGGGACTGACCAGTCGACGAGGTGTCTGTCTATGAGCCGTGGCCACCCACAGGCATCAGATACCTACCTGGTGTGACCCCCCAGTGACGTCACGCAGCCGCCAGCTGGCGCCGCCGACCGTGGGAGGCACGTGGAACGCTGAGCGCTTGGATTGAGCCGCTAATTAAACACTGGTCATTACGACCTACACATCATCCCGGATAGTCATTATTGGCCCATTGGCACAGCTATTAGTGTCAGTGGAAATATCGGTTACACGTGATCGTTAATATCTGCATCAACATGACTGAGTACCTTCCTATACCCCTACTTACCTGCCTAAGACCGGGCAGTCAGATGCACATCGGCCGTTGAATAGTTAGATCAAAGCATCGTGGTGTTAGCACAATTGATAAGAAAACCGATGTTAGTTTGATCTTATTTGACCACATCAGCACCCAGGGCATATTTTAACAAATTGTTACTCCGTCCCAAAATTGAGCAGAGGGCACGTGCTACGACTAAGGGCACAGGGCAAGGAACAGAGTAGGGCAATGAGGAGGACAGAAAGTAGGACACGGCAGGTTACAGGGCATGACACAGGACATTTTAGAGGAAAGGGTATGTAGTGTTGGACCTCAACGGTGACTCAGTGTGTTGCCTCCCTCAGGTGTGTTGGCCTCTCAGCAACGGGCTGTGAATAAACAAGCTAGGGCAGACGACATCATTACACTGGCGACAAGGATGTCACTCATCCCTGATGCCGGCCTCGCGACAGCCGGCAAACCCTGTGTCCTGGGAACCGACCCCGCCAGATACCACGACATCTTCGAAGAGTGGCTTGAACATGCCAGCCTCCTCGTCAACTCCCTTGGTGTGACCGATGACACACAAAAGCTCAACCTGCTCCTCCTGTGGGGAGGCCGCGACCTACGGAAGCTCGCTAAGGTAGCAGGAGTCGACACAGAGTCAGACCCTCCCACCACCTTCAAGGCCGCCATCGTCCAGATCCGGGCGCACTGCAGACAGCATGTCAACCTGTCCATGGCCGTCTTCCGGCTCATGCATGCACGGCAAGGAGAGAAGACCGTGACTGAATTCCTCGATGAGTTGGACTCGCTTGCCACCCAGTGCCAGTTTGACACCAACCCCTACACTCCAGAGCGGGCCAAGAAAGACGCCTTCATCTTCGGTACGTCAGACGAGCGCCTGAGACAAGAAGCCCTGGCCAGAGACCCCGACTTGCAGACGCTCGTCAAGTCGGCCCTGGGATATGAGCAGGCCAGGAAATCCAGCGGCGCAATTCAGTCAGAAGTGGGAGAGTCTGTGGCACGGGTAGCCACCAGAGGGCGCTACAGCATCAACCAGCCAACGAGGACACCCAGTGGCCAGGGAGGCCGAGGTGCGGGCCCACGTGTCAGGTGCAAGAACTGCCCGCCGCACTACCGACCGCACCCGCCGGGCCGCTGTCCGGCTAGGGGTAAGACGTGCGCTCTCTGTGGTGAGAAGAATCACTTCGTAGGAGCTGCTAGCTGCACCAAGGCTCAAGTCCGCTTCACTGCTGAAGACGATGAGGAAGCGTACCAGTTCGAGGTGGACGACAAGAACAGCGTGGGTCGTGTCGTGGAGGTCGGCATGATCCAGCCTGGACATGCAAACGTTGTTCAGGTGTCTGTCAACGGCACCGCCACCTCCTTCTTCGTGGATTCCGGCTGCAACAAGACGCTCATCCCTGTCAGCGCCTACCACGCGTCCCTTGGCAAACTGGAGGCATCATCCGTCAAGCTGAGGCCGTACGGGACAGCAACCCTTCTGAGAGTGAAGGGAGAGATGCGAGCCACCCTTCAGAGTCGAAACGGGGCACAGTGTCACACGACTGTGTACATCATCGATGGACACTTAGCGGAGCCGCTTCTGGGTGACGCGGACGCCAAGGCGCTTGGCATCCTCCACATCGACGCCGGCGGATCGGCTCGCGAGGGGGAGCCACCCGGCCATGTTGTCGGCGTGGCAGGAATCATCGACACCCTCGCAGCTGCTGGCGTGACAGTGCAAGCCAAGAAATGCACGAGTCAGGATATTTCCGGCGACGACAGACGTAAGATCGCAGCAATCGTCAATAAGCACAAGAAGGTTTTCGAAGGAGTAGGCCTCCTGAAGGACGATGAAGTCTCCTTCCACATTGATCCGGAGGCGACCCCAGTCGTCGCACCCTACCGTCCTGTTCCCCTGGCCTACCAAGAGCGTCTCAGTGCTCACCTAGCCGAGCTGCGAGCGGAAGGAAAAATCGAAGACGTCGGACCACAAGAAGAGTGTCCATGGATCTCCAATGTCGTCATCACCGAGAAGAAAGAAGCTGGGAAAATCAGGATGAACATCGACATGAGGGAGCCCAACAAAGCCATCCGGAGAACGCCGCGACATGTGACAACCGTCGCCGAGATGCGCCATATGTTGGAAGGAGCGAGAGTCTTCTCGGAACTGGACATGAGCCACGGTTTTCACCAGCTGGCTCTGGCAGAGGAGTCGAGAAAGATGGGTGCCTTCCGCACTCACGAAGGCCTGCACCGCTTCAAGGTACTGTTCTTTGGAGCGTCGCCAGCATCTGACATCTTTCACGACCGCATCAGTGCCACCCTGCGCGGATTGACGGGATGTACATCTATACACGACAACATCCTCGTGTGGGGCAAGACCGCAGAGGAGCATGCCACGAACCTCGACGCATGCCTCCAGAGACTGCAAGAAAGAGGACTAACTCTGCGAAAGGAAAAGTGCACCTTCGGATCCGAAGAAGTGAACTGGTTCGGCTGGGTCTTCTCCAAGTCCGGCATGTCGGCCGACCCCCGCAAGGTCAAAGCGATCAGGGAAGCGGGACCTCCCCAGACCACCGACGACGTACGCAGCTTCCTTCAAGCTTGCCAGTACAATGCGCGCTTCATGTTCAACTCTGAACAAGCGTACGCTCAGCTGACCAAACCCTTGCGAGAACTCACAAGAAAGCACGCCAGGTTCATCTGGAGCAAGGAGTGCGAACAGGCGTACCAAGCCATCTTGAAAGCAATGACAAGTGAGACGGCCTTGCGGCCGTTCGACCCCCAGCTGCCCACCAAGCTCGTCACAGACGCGGGACCAGATGGCATCGCCGCCAGCCTTTTCCAGGTCACAAGCGATGGGACCTGGATACCGATCGACCACGCAAGTCGCTCACTCACGCCGTGCGAACAGAGATACTGCCAATTCGAAAAAGAGTCTCTGGCTCAGGCGTGGGGTATGAACGTCCATCGCCACTACCTGCTGGGAATACGGTTCGACTCCGTCACGGACCACAAGCCCCTGCTCGCCGTCTACAATGGGAAAAGGCGAGGAAATGCTCGCGTCGAGCGGCACAAACTGCAGACCCAAGAGTTCCAGTACCAGATGGTACACCTTCCAGGGAAGGCGAACCCATGCGACTACGCTTCGAGACATCCGATGCCGCTCTCCTCGTACCACGCAGCGCAGCTGGACGACATGATCCTGTACCGTCATGATGAAATTTGCATCAACGCGGTCATCTCGGATGACACGCCGGACGCCATCAACATCAAGGAAGTCCAGGAAGCGACTGCGCGAGACCCGCAGAGCCAAAAGCTGATCAAGTGCATCCAGCAGGGCTACATCACTAGAGACCCAGACCTCGACCCGTTCCGCCAAATCTTCCGAGAGTTTAGCTTCAATCGAGGAGTTCTCCTACGCGAAGACAGGCTCTACATCCCCGCCTCTGAGCCTGAACCTGGGGCTGGGAGCCTCCGACAGCGGGTGGTTGAGCTCGCGCACGAGGGCCACCAGGGGGTTGGCCGGTGCAAAAGGCTGCTGCGAGCGCAAGTCTGGTTCCCTCATCTGGACGCGCTCGTCGACGAGAAGATCTCCAAGTGTCTGGCTTGTCAAGCCTCGACGTTCACTCCAACCAGAGACCCGCTAAAACCGACCCCCTTGCCTGAACGCCCATGGCAAAGGGTGGCAGCAGACTTCTGGGGTCTTCTGTCGAGTGGAGAGCACCTCCTGGTCGTCATCGACGAGTACAGCCGCTATCCTGAAGTAGAGATCACTTCTAGTACTAGCGGGCTGGCGACCATCCCCGTCCTCGACAAGATATTCGCAACCCACGGCATCCCGGAATCAGTGAAAACGGACGGTGGCCCCCCATTCAACGGACACGACTTCGCCATGTACGCGCGCTGGGCTGGCTTCACGCACCGCAGGGTCAGCCCCGAAGACCCAGAGGCAAATGGCCTTGCAGAGGCCTTTATGAAAACCATAAAGAAAACATGGCATACGTCCCGCATCGAAGGGAAAAATCCCAAACAGGAGTTGTACAAACTCCTACGACAGTATCGCGCAACACCGCACCCCAGCACTGGGAAACCCCCCGCGGAACTGCTCTTCAACCGGCCGTTTCGCACCCGGCTGCTGACAGCTGAGAGGCCAACACCTGGAACACCGTCTCATGACGTGCAGAAACACGACGCACGGGCGAAGGATGTACAGAAGGCCTACAAGGACACCCCCAAGAACGTGCGACCTCACAACATTCAAACAGGCGATACGGTTCTTCTGCAGCGCCGGTCTACCAAGACGGCCTCACGCTACGACCCAGAGCCCTACAAGGTCGTCCAGATGAAGGGAACGCAGATCACCGCCACCCGCGGTGGATCTACCCTCACCAGGGACTCGCAGAAGTTTAAACGGATCGTCCGTCCCCAGCGCCCCAACTACAAACGGCAGCGCTTTCCACTGACGCTACATGGCAACAGCGACGAACCGCGTCTGGGATCAGACTGGCCTACCCCCCCAGCCACGGTCAACGGCGCGGCAGGCCCTCCACACGCTACGGCCGAGACCTCCAGGCCTGCGGAACTGCCCCCGCCGCCGCCGACCGCCGCCGCCCCGCCCAGCCGGCGCTCGGCCCGAGCTCGCCGGCTGCCCTCACACCTCGCGGAATACGATCTCTCTTGAGCGTGCGGCACCGCCCCCCCCCCCTCCCTTCCAACACATATAACCTAAGAAGCGCAGATTTTGTTCGCCGCGGCATTGGCGGCCACGGCCGTACTGGCGCGGCCAAGCTGTCGGGCGGTGTTATCCTGTTCGGCGTTATCTCAGGGAGCGTCTTTTCTGTTTTGCTTTTGTTGTGGATAGCTTTCGAAGACGTGGTACTCATGCCTTCCTCATGCATGTTCGTTCGGCCCACATTTCGCGCTGCGAGTAATCACTGGTTCGCCACGCTTCAACCCCCTTCATATAGGTGCGCGGCCACCGCTGGTGTTGTGTTGTTGGAGCTGAGGATGGATGTAGTGTTGAGCCTCAAGCTCCACATCACTTAATGGCTGTGCTGCAGCTCCCTGTGTTGACCTGAGGAGGGGTGTAGTGTTGGACCTCAACGGTGACTCAGTGTGTTGCCTCCCTCAGGTGTGTTGGCCTCTCAGCAACGGGCTGTGAATAAACAAGCTAGGGCAGACGACTTCATTACAGGGTACAGGTCAGGGAACCGGACAGGGCACAGGGCAGGGACGCAGTGGGTCAAATCAGCAGGGGCTACGTCCCAAGGCGAGGGGGCTGCGTCCCAGAATGGGACGCAGTAAGTGCCTTAAAATATGCCCTGTCAGCACCAATTATAGTTGCCAGGCGATGTGTTATCGAGGCGTAATTCATAGTATGTCATGACTATGTTGAAAAATAGGTATATATTTTATCTGATACGTCGATGTCGTACGTAAAGGTAGGTATAAGTTCAAACTTGAGCAACGCTTATTATGAAGGTCTTGAAAGTGACAACAATGAGATATAGTTTTTGTTCAGACAAAGGTAGGTAAGTTCGCTCATGACTGAGCCTCAGCGAAGTTCACTGGTCCTCGTTGGGTCGGTGAGGAAGGGAGGGGAGGGGCGGCAGGTCGTGCCAGCGCATGAATAACTCATCGAATGCGTCCCGGAGCAGGCGCTCCGTCATCCACCGGTCTGAGACCCATTCGTCACTCATCGTCCCTTCGGTGCGTTTACTGGCGATCAGATAAACAGGACAGAGGAGAAGAATTGAGTCTAAGTGCGGATTTGATCCTGCCCAATGTGTCTGCAGGATAAATCTGGGTTCACGTTGCCTCCTTCAAAATACCCCACCGAAATATTAGCGGATAGCTTCGCCAGCTGTATTTGAAACTTTTATGATAGGATGTAAAATTTTTATTTATTCTGTGCTTCTTGGGATATTTACGGCTATATGAAAGGCGTATTATAGGCTACTGGGAGTCAGGAGACTAAGTGTGGCATTTGGGTTGCAATTTATTGCATTAGTTATAACTAATAGCTACGTGTGACATTTATATGCTATTTGAACATTGGACACTACAAAAATTAGATGAGCGACCCATTGCTGTAGCCTGTATCGCTCAACTACAACAGGCTGGTGACGTCTCGCTGTTTCCGCGGTGGGTCGCTCTCGGTAGCGTCGGGTCAGCCGTTCCGGCGGCGCTGCGGCTCCCCAGACGGGACCGTCGTCACGCCGCCTACGTTCACCGTAGGCGGCTCAGTAGGCGCCGGACCGCGGCAGGGGAGGGTGCGCGCGGCGGCTCCGCTGAGGGGCAGAGTGTGTGGTGCTCGGAGAGAGCGGGAGAGAGAGCTGCAGCTCCACCCTCAGTGCGTCAGTGAGGTTGGAGCAGTGCTATCTCGGAGGCCGAGGGACCCTCAGGACCCACACCTGACATGGGACTTTACCAGGACAGGACTGTCGATAGTCGATTCTTCTGAAGGTCCTCGGCGGTCGGCCGTGCGAAGGTGAGTGAGGGTAAAAGCATGATGAACATGCCGTAAAGCGGTGAGACGAGCCATAGTCTGTTATTATCAAACCGACTGCAGCGCTTGTGCAAGACGCGGGCCATCGAAGCTCTGATCGTGTCTCTGTGTGTCTGTGTGTGCAGGCCGCAGGGGAAGGTGACGGCTCGACGCCGGGGTGGTCTCTCACTGTTCTCTCCCCCTCCCTCATCGCTCTCAGATGACCTAGTTTTAAACGGCACTTCTTTGGCTGCCCATGGTCAGTTACGACACATGAAACCCGAGTAAACGCTATGTTTGGGGCGAAAGTGCCATTTCAGTGGTTTAGTATCTGTTCAGTTTAATATCTGGGACGGTAGCATGTAGCTGAAGGCGAAACTTCAGTAATATTACGCCACATGGTTCACCATCATCCAAGATTCATCGCACTGGATGAAGCTGGTTTGAATTGTCTTACAGTAGGTAATGTCTTCAAGGAGTGCCGCGACTCATCATACCCAGCATGGCCATCTTGTATAACTCACAACAACTGAGAAATACGTCCTTCTCTGAATCATAACCGTCAGATGTCGGTTCTGATAGAACCGCCGGGTGTCTGAGATGGCGGGCCGACTGACTCGGAGGAAGGGATGCAGAAGTGACCCGAGTTCGGTTCACCGTAAGGGTGACAGCTCACTGGAAGAGCCGTCTGCCGACACTGGCAGGTCTCTCTCACTACGATTGTGTCAGTGCCGCACGTCTAGTGAAATGTTATGGCTGGCACACCTCGACTGGAGGGGACACGTCAATGACGGACGAATAAAAGGGGACAGCCAGCATAAACAAAGTGCATGAAAAGCTTACAAAAGTCATAATACCAGGTCAATGGCACCGAATGGGAAAAATATTTTATGAACCAGCTTGCGAATGCGACTTCTGACTTTACAGCTGAAGCCTATACCTACTCAACAGACACATTTTAAAGAGAGAATGAGGAGAAGCAGTCTACCATCTGATTTGTCGTGGCTACGTTGAGGTCAATTTTGGTGATTGATGTTGATATAAGCTTCAGCTCTTGACTCCTGCATCATCGTGGGTCTGAACTTGAAGGGCTACGTTGCCATTTGAAAGTCCATACTGCGTCGAGATATTGGTTACGTGTCTAAATTAAGTCACAGCCCTGTTTTGCATTTGCGCACAGATGCAGAACGGCTCTGCCGAATTATTTCTAGAGTTACCCACTAGTTACCCGGATTGTGCCGAAATCCGACACTCACGCGATCGCGGGCAGCCCTGTGACCCGACAGGTGGCGCAGATCGTATCACCAATGACGTCAGGCGCGCTGCACGGTGCCTCTGGCTCAATGGGCCTGCCATTGCCCGCCTCTATATACGACCTAATCCGCGCTGCTGTGAGCCGGGTCCACCCACCCCGCGCGAGCTTGGTACGGGGAGGACGGGGATAGGCGGCCCGGAAAGGCTGGTGGTCTGACCCCGGTGGCACATGCATATTACATGTCCGGTGCGACTCTAAGGCGGTCGGTACGAGCCGTTTGGCTGGTCGGAAGGCATCGTTCCTCGCCCGGAAGACGGCCCAATACCATTTCACTACTTGTGAATGTCAGCTGTTCTCCAAAAGCCGGCAGCCGAACGGACAGCTCCAGTTGAAGAATTAAAAAACTCCGCAGCATTACCGGCGCGGGTCCCGAGATTATCCCAATCTTCACTCCGAGATTATCCTAATCCCGGACCCCAAATCACCTGAGTCAGCTCAGTGTTCGTTCCTCTGGAGACTCGGAATCACCCAAGCTGCAGTATGTGCCTCGCCGGCGGCCGCGGGACCGCTCCTGTGGCTGTGCGGTAGCCAGTTCCGGCCCGCGGCCCAACCCGCCGCTCTCCGTAAATGGTGCGCTACGGACGCTGCAGTGCCAGCCTGGACGGACTGGTCGGCCGGCGCGGCGGCCGGACGGCAGCCTGACTGGCTGGAGATGATGGGATGGGGGGGGGGGGAGTTGGAAAGGTGGTTCGTTGCATGGATGATGAGGGATGGTGAGGGAAACTTTACGTGTACAGCTCGGAGTTGTGGTTCTCGGTGCCCCGCCCTTCCCGTCAATGTTCAGTGTGATAGTCGCGATAGTTCGTACCCTGTAAGAGGTCAGGAGTGGGAGCTTTCGGTTTCACTTTTCAGACACTGACCTTTTGTCGTTGGGGGAGCACCATGGATAATTGAACACGCCCTGCCGCTTATCGGTCGTTATCTTTGCCAGCTTGGCATCGGACCCGGTAGCCCCAGTCTCGCCGAAAGTCATATGTAAACAAGATTGGCAATACGGGTCTAATCGTTTTGAGCGCCGCGCAGGACCTCGACTCACCGGCTCACCGACTCACTGACTCATTAACTCACGAGTGGGGTGTGATTCAGTGAGTCACACCAGGCCAACGCCCACTCCACGGTGTTACCCTGTTTGTACTGCGATAGCGAGTGCGGTATTCTGCATCAGGCCTCAGTGGGGGCGTGTTGCGACTTGCCTGGCGTGTGACTAACGTGGGCCGTTCGGAGTTGGAATGGTGGCATTTCCTGTGGACAAGCCCGGCTCTCTCTCTCTCTCTCTCTCTCTCTCTCTCTCTCTCTCTCTCTCTCTCTCTCTCTCTCTCTCTCTCTCTCTCTCTCTCTCCGAGTGGGACTGCCGCGAGCCAGCCGCATGAGTCGACTCAGACTGTATTTGTATCGGTCGGTACCTATATGCCCCGCGGCGACCGCCGGTGACCGCAGCCTCGGCGACCAGCTACGTCAGCGTCTACGGTAAGATGGGAGGGGGGAAGGGAGCAACTGCTGGACTGAAGGTGTCGTCACAAGCGTCCGGTAAAAGCTAGATGAATTGAGTAGAAGTGTGATTGTTTTTAGTTGTGATTCTGACGCTTGAGGCCGTATTCATCTCTGGTCCGGAAACGATTACCTATAGTGTTCATGCTTGATGTTCCGAGATATCCTGCCGAAAAAGTACCTACTCGTATGGTAAAGGACATTAAAGAACGGTCATAACATTATTTAAATTTTATAAGACATTGGTCACTAAAAAGACACGGGTGCGCGGCACGGCTATATTAATAATGGGCCCCCCAGTTTCCGTCTTTAAACGTCCTTCACGTGCGCGACAGTGTCTGTCAAACAAATACTGTCTCTGCTCTTCTTCAACACGGAAACATGACAGGACTGTCCGTGGAACAGCTGTTTACCACCCACGGGTCACTTTTTTGCCGTCCCCGCTGGGCGTTTTTGCTTTGATTTAGAATCGCTTTGCTACTGTCGAACACTGCTATACGGAGCTGAGCCAGCCCAGCTAGCAGGTGTCCGAGCGCTAGCAATTTATTTACTCTAGAAACACATTACCCATCAGCAGTTTGAGTCAGTGCTAACTCCATGGTGACACAACAGAAAGGCATGTTTGTTGTAGAGATAACACTTGACTTGACTGCTGGTCCCTGACCTATCTGATGTACGATTGCAGAGGGTATGCAGAGGGTAGTAAAGTACTGGCAGTTCTGTGGTCACACTGCCCACTTGCTAATCATTAATCATGTGCAGCGCCAGACCACAAACAATTATGCATGGCGCGGGGTAAAATGCGAGTCAGCTGCCATCAGACTAGAGATCGTCCAAAGTTGTACTCGGGTAACGTGGGATACGTGCATTGTTTTGTATACAGTTGACCTGTATAGTTGTCCTGAGGTTACCTCAAGGTAACATGGCTGGTGGGTGGGGTCGAGTTGGGACGCTGGCGTGTCGCTCCGCGGTGGGAGCCCGGCCCGTCACCCATGCGACTCCGTCCAGCTGGCACCGATCCGAGACGGGGAGCCGCTGTTCAAACCGTCCCTATTTGTTCTCCGGCGCGAGGGCACTCCACGGCGCGTGTTTGGCAGGGCCGCGGCACGTCCCAGCGGCGCCGTTTTCGCCACACTCCATCGATGCGTCGTTTATGTCTGCGTTGCGCCACCCAATGCCTGCCGATGCCGCCGGTGTATTGGCGCCGCTCAATAACTCGTTTGGCACGACCGCAGCCGGCCGAAGATGCTCGCTCAAGCGGCGATCGGCGGTAACGATAATAAACAAACCTCTGAGGAGAGTGAAAGGGCGGCTGGCGGGGTTCTCCGAGCGTCCAAACCTCTTCAGTGCTCCATCACCGGAGCGTGCCGCGCGCCGAGCCGATAATGATGATGCTGATTGGACCTGTCAGTCGACTGGTGTAGGTACCGAGCTGAGCGCAGCGCGGATTAGCGCGTACTGCACTGGGAGAGATGCAGCCAGGTGCATTGTTAGCAGGTCTGTCGTATTGTTTGATGAATCACATTGATCTCGATTTGACTGGGTGGCAAATGGAGGTGCACTGCGAAGATGCGCAGATAACGTTGCCAATCCGTGTTTTGTTTTCTGAGTGACGTTGAAGCTCCAGTCGTTTGAAGAGGGGCTGTAGCCTGTTGTGCATCGGCTAATGCCTGTTTGCTTCACTGACTGCCCCGGTCAGCTGCGCGCCCACCCAACCTGTATAAACCCGCGGCAGTGAGGCTGCCGCAGCCGGGCGGACCCCTCTCCAAGCCTATCAGTCCGACTGCCTCCCGCGCGGCCTGTGTTTGTGACCGCCGTGACGTGAGCACGTGCGGCGGCACCGAGCCCGATTTGGCCGCTGTGGTCGGCTCGGTCCGGAGTCGGTCAGTGAGACTGGCTCTAACGTCACCTCGGGTCAGCGGGGCGGGAGAGGAGGGAGGGGAGAGGCTCGACTGGGCTCGACTTACTTGTCAGTGGGAAACACCGGCGGAACCCCGGAACGGAGGGTACGAAATGCACATGCGTCACTGAGTGGTATGCATGCATAAATCACAGTGTCATTCATCACTTGAGCAAGGAGATCAAACGTCACTGAGCTGGCATCGAGCGTCATCACCTGGCCACTCCACGGTGCCGAGTCTCCCAGTTCAACTTCAGCCTCAGACCCAGGATCAGCCGTGGGGTTGTGGTTCAGCCAACT